AATAATATTATACAATTCTAATGCAGAAACAACACTTGATTCTCACATGAGGATGCAGTGAGAACAGATGCATGAAGTGACATGAGTATTTTGATCAGTACAAGCTTGACAGAAGATGTCTTTCCAGAGAAAATAGGCTAAGGCAGAAGAGTTAACAAATACTTGTTATTTTTGGCACTCAGAGTTCATGGACATGATTTTCAAAGTCATATCACTCAGCCCAAACTCATGTATGTCTGAGGTGAAGCACAACCCAGCGTTCCAGGCAGCAGTCGCTTTGCTTTTAGAGGAACAGGATAAAAAATACTTCACCTCAGTTATGTGCCAGCCATACTTTATGCTACCTCCTGGTTTTAGGGATAAAGGGCTGCCTGAATTCAGCTTGTTATGTGCCTCAAAAACAGTCACTGGTGCGTCCTCAGCTGGAGCAAAGCTACTTTTCCCTGTCCTGTGAAAGAGAACTCCGGGGTCTTCTGGTTTGTAAACTGTTCAATAACCAAGGCTTTGAGGCTCAAGAGTGGCCAAGCATTTTGAATAAGGGTGGCAGAGAAGTGCAGCCTTTGGCTGCTGCAAGTGCTCTTGTTGGTATTGTGCCTTTGCTGATCTTGTTTCTTTCTCCACCACTAATTTTCCCTTGTGCTCCTTTGAGCTGACTTGTTTGGTGGCTTTGTTTGATTAATCCGCTCTGTTTTGCTTTTAACTCCTCACCCTGTGCTGCAGAATGACACAAATAGGAAAAACATTAACAGGAGTAACAGGGCTTCGGTGAATCTGGTGGATGCTCGTGACATTAAACCCCAGCCTGTTGACTCCTGGGTCTAATTTGCATGCATGGTAGGTCATTTTAATGGTAATTGGTGCTAGTGATTAACTTGTCTTTTGCATGATCTGTTTAGCTGTGGAATCTCTACAAGGCTAACTGCTAACTGAGTCCTTTCAGAGAAAGGAAAATACATTTGAAAACGTGGTATTTATATTATTTATTGTGTCTTTAATGAAACTCAATCAAACACTCCTGTGTGATTAAAAAATAATCTGTCAAATAACCAGACAGCACAGTAGTATCTTGACTGATTGGCCGTCAGCCAGAATGTGGAATATTTCTCCTGGAAGGCCATGGGAATGAATTTAAATAGTGTGTTTCTACTTCCAACGATTTTTTTTCTTCCCTTCAGACTCATTAGAAGGATTAGCCTGAGTCTAAAAGAAAAAGCTTATCCTTCTCTGTTTATGGATGTCCCCTGAGGTTCCCTAGAATTACAAAGCCATGCCCATCTGCAAGAAAGCTGCTGCCTGTGCACAGTTACTTTGCAAGGGGAGGTGATTTTGATTGCACAATAACCGTCAAGCTCCCACTTCCCAATTCTTTCTTATTCTGTTAAAGAAAGGCGCCATTTAGTCGCCTTACAGCTCTCTGCCTTTGCCATGAGCCAAGCCCCTTATAATGTCACTATCCTTCCTTTATTTCCTGCTACTGCTAATCTGTCTCCCCCTGTTTTGCTAGACAGTGCTTTACCCTGGTTGTACCATCCGTCACTGTCAGACGTGATGCCCCATTTGGAATAGCTGATTTTGTGCCCCTGGCTGGCTGAAGGAACACCTAAGAAATGGTTGCAAAGGCCATTGGAGTGGACAATAGGCCTTTGAGGCTCAAATTCCCAAAAGCGGAGTGTTGTCCACTCTCATAATCAGGCATGGAAATCGCATGCACTAGTGGGGGAGAGAGCTCTTGTATGTGTGGGGTTTTCATTTTTGAGGTCTCCCCAGAAATGCTTCTCCTTCTTTTAAGGCTCTAGTACAAGTGCTGTGTGTTTGCAGGTTGTTTCTCTTCCTGGGTTGGAAGCGCTTGGCCAGAGCAGTCTTTAAAGCCCCCTGGTAGCCTTGTGTAGCCACGGGCAGCCCCTGGCAGTGTTGGCCTCATGCAGCTGGTCGGTGCTGTGCATTCTGCCTTGTTGGCTCAGCCAGAGGACAGGGATAAACATGTGCAGTGCCTGCACACCTCCAGTCTTGCGCGCTTCTTCTTAGCAGTGAATGCGTATGGGTGGGACTTTGAATGCAGGCTGTGATCATTTTCTCCCAGTCAGACCTTTCAACAAACCCATACACTGGGATACATTAGGATTTCCCTTCATTGTTCTACCAGTAGGGGATGGAGATCACCAGTGCCACGTTGCTTGCTGGTATTGATCAGTTCTGGCTTTATTTTGCAGGCCTAGAGTCCAACCACATTTTTTTTTAATTGAGGCGGAGAAAAAAACATTGAATTGACACAGGATTTCATCAGTCACCACTGCCATTCCGATCTGGAGGGCGCTGCATCACTGACAAGGCTGCGGATTCTAAGAAAATGCAGGGAGAAAACACAACTGACTGCCATTGCCAACCCCAGAGCACCATGCCTTACAGCAAGACAGTTTGCTTTTTAAATCAGTTACATTCCCACCAGACATAGCTGCCTCCTGCTCCCTCCCACTCCTGCAAGAGTAAAGCAAGCAAGAGAAGAGAATCCAAGTTCCATCCGGCTGGCTGCATTCTTAGGTGACTCTTACATGTGGAAGGTGCCAAGAATGAGAAGCGAAGGTCGCGCAGCAGCAAAGAGGACAGCTTCATAAGTGAACTGCAGAAGATCTGAAACGATACCTTAGGTGTAGTCATGAAGATAATAGCACTTTTATGGATTGGATCCCGTGGTTTTCTTTTTGTTTTGGGGGATTTATTTTGAACTGTGAATCTAACACTTTTAAAGGGTTTTTGAAAAATGCTGAGGTTTTCTTCGTTATTTCAACAGGAATTGCAGGAATGTTGAGTGGGTTTATTGAATTTCAATGAAGAGAAAATACAGAACAAAAAATACTAAATGCTGGCCAAGTGAACTGGAGAGTAGATAGCAAAATTGATGCAAGCTGTATAAATCTGCTTTTAGAGTAAGCTATATCAATCACAGTGCTATAGTATCGTTATAATCTGATGTACAGTAGTTCTGCCTTTTGAATTCTGTAATGGCTCTGCTTTTATTTCCACATGAAGGTTTTAATGTCCCCGGTTCAGAAATGTATACTGAGAAATGGAGTTGGCTGGCTTTTTATTTTCTTATTCTCAAAGATTGCAGTAAGGAGCTTTTACATCTTAATCGTGTCAGTGTTACATTGATGACAACTAACAGTTTATTTTGCTGTAGCTGTTAACACATTGGAAGAAATAGAAGCTTCTTCACAGGATGTCTTATTTTGAACATACTATATGCAGTTTAGGTGGGTCTGTCATTTATGTTTGATGGTAAATTTATCACTGTTGGATCCATGTTTGCTTTGGGCTAAAGATCCTGGTGGAAATGTCATAAAGGGAACAGATTAGACATTTTTAAAATCATCAGCATTTCTGTGTTCCCTTGATTTTGTTTGGAGCTTACATGTTCTTGGTGGTATGAAAATCATCCACACGCAGATGTTCTCCTCTTAGATGCCATGGTGTGCTCTGATAAGGCAGAATTTTTACCTCATGAGAACAGAGAACTATGCTGCATCTACAGAATCTGATAATGCCGTGAACTAAGTGACTTTAGATCACTGATTTCCTCCAGGCATTGGTCAAGAGAGGACAGCAGAAGAGAATAGGAAGGAAATATCTCACCAGTAGCATCACAGGGCTTTTGCTGATTTTGTTTGGTTGCCACATTTAATTCTAAATAAGCTCCTAAAAGTGGTGTGACTGGAAAGCACATTTTTGAGCCTAACAAACATCATTCGGGGTTTTCAGTGCCTGCCATTTCCTTTGTAATTAAAAAGGGGAAATATCCAAAACCTTGCCTCACCCAAAATATTACTGTAATAGTAAACGTCTGAAGTTTTTGTTTAAAAAAAAAAAAATGAAAAAAAAATGAAAAACACACAAAAAAAGCAAGTACCAAGAGCTTTCTATCTTCATGAGTATATTGAAAAATTGACATGAATACATATATATAAATAAATAAATCTATATATCTATATATATATTGTTGTGCAGAGGATAGGTTAATAAAACCATGTAAAGTAGTTTGCAGGAGAGGGAAGCATTTGTTGATTCAGGGAAAAAGACTGATGCCAGAAGCTGTCAGTGGTTTGGATGATGCATGTGCTCCTTCACCCTCCTCCCTTTTGACCCTCATCTTCTATGTACATTGCAGTAGTTACTTCTGGATCATAGAGAAGGTGAAGTTGCTCAGAGCAAATTAAGATAGCGAATATTTGTGGGGTTTTCACCTGCATGAGAGTCCTGTTGGACCAAAAATGCTCAGCAGATCAAGGGAAGCAGAGATGCATCTGTGATTATCAACATCTGTGTCAGAGGCAGTGTCTCTCTATGTGTAGACATAAAGTGTGGCAATGAAACCAGATACATAGTCTGACTGTATATTATATCAATGGTGCTCTTTTCATACTTGTTCTGCCAATACGCGGAGACCCTTTTAACCAAGCTACACAGAAACGTTTTATATCACTTTTGGTTATGTACTTGGTGTATTCTTTTTGTATATGAAAGGATTTTTTTAAAAACGTTCAGTAATTAGCAATGGAACCTGCTTTGTAGCTAATTAGAACAGTTGAAGAAAAGGGCCGTGCTGTCAGTCTGTCCCTGATCTACTTCAAACCATATATTTACCAAAGGAGTCTGAGCAAAAGTTCATTTAAAATAAAGACCTGACTGTTGAGTCTCTGCTAAGACTTTGTGATTTAGTTGTTGTACAAATATTTCAAAGCCAGCAAGAGGTTAGAAGAGAAAAGTGCAGGAAAGGGGGAAGTGATGTGACTGGGGCCAGTTATGTCCATGCCGCCTGTGCCAGGTGTCATATGGCTCTCAGTGGGGCACTACAAGGACACTCAAAATCTGTATGGCTATCTATTTTTGTCTCTGTCATTGGTGAATCAAACTAAAAACACTAAGGAAGACTTGAGAAGCAAATTTAGCCCCATCCAACTTCCCCCCCGAAGACCTTTTCATATTTATACTGCATCCTCTGTCAAGCAAACCTCCCTGTCAGGTTAGATGGAATTGGCTGCCCAGGCTTGTTGTAGCAAACTGTTCTTCTTCCTTTTCCCTGGAATAAAGTGTTCTTGGCTTCCAGTTGAGAACGTGGTTTATTGCAACAAAAAAGCAAAGGATAGTACATAATAGGTGAAACACCAAGTCCACGTGCCAAGACGTCCTCCTAGGAAACAACACCTTACTTCTGCCCTTCCCATGCCTTACAGTAATGAATTCCTAGGTATGTAGCAATAACCAATAATGCATCATTTATGTTACCTTGTTTGTTATTTTTTCTTCTCACCAAGCTGTTGTTCAGATGATTAGGAAAGAAAATGGATTGGGAATGACTTGCATATGAGACTGTTGCCTTGTACTATCAGCTCACAGGCCAAAATCTCTAGCAAGATACTTTGAACTTAGTTTGGTGATTTATCCAATGTCCTTTTCGTCTGTGGCCACACACCAACGTCTGGAATGCGTTGGTGAGATGTGTGTCCACACCTGTCCCTCCATCCCTCCTCGTTACTGCAAGTGTGACTGGGCTGGTTGAGCGATTCTGGAATGTGGGTAAATAAGCCAGTAATTGTTGAGTTTGTTCTGGCAGCAGGGACAGTATGTTAAGAAGGGAAAGTGGCAGTGTGTGTAACTAATGCTGCAGTGTGGTCTAGAGGCTCCTGCTCAAAGGCAGGCAGTGCTTTTTAGGGCTCAGGTATGTGACCTCCTCTTTTCCTGTTGGTTCCACTGTGAAAACTGGAGGCAGTCTGTCTGCAAAGAGCAGAGATGTATAGAAGAGATTTATACCTGCAGAAATTTAAGTGGGAGGGGTGGTTGTGGAAGGAGAAGATAGGTGTTGCAAGACTCCTAGTAAAGAGGAGGAAGAAATTTGATGGCCCAGTAAGGGCTGAGATAATGGGATGGAAGAGATTTCTGATGGCAAATAACTGCTGAACTTTCATCCCAGGAGATGGCTTGCTCACCGCCCAGGCATATTCAGTAGGCTGTGGAGGTTAAACAGAATGGAAAACCAAGTAACAACACTGACGGGGCCACTTAACATTATGTGTCAAGACTGCCAGAGAAGCATCAAATTGGGCTGTAGAGTGGATGAGTGATCAATCCTTCCAACTCAAAGGATTCTGTGATTCTGTTTGTGCAGCATCCAGCAGAAAGGCAAGATGTAAGGACATTTTGTTTGCATTCTGTGTTGGAGCTAAAAAGTAATTTAGCTGTAAGTGTAACTTGACAAATGAAAGATGGTTGCCAGCTTGAAATGTTCCCCAGGGAGCAGCTTGGGCAGCCAGAAATCTTACAGGCAGAACACCTGAGTGTCCTGGTTCTACACTTGTGCGTTCAGACCCACAGATTCTAAGTGTACATATTAGGAAAGGAAATCTCATCTCCTTTGCCAAGACTTCAAAAAGGGACTGACTTGGGGACTAGGAACTGACTTGTTAGGTGATGCATTAAGGGGGTGGGGGTGGCATGTTTGTTAAAGCCAATTAGTAAGTTCCTGCCAACTGAGAGCAATAGTTTTCAGTGATGACTTCTAGCGTGCAGTTTATGCTGGCAAAGCAGTTTTCACTCCTACAGCAGTTTTGTTAGCTTGAAGGTGGTGAGTTACTTTCTGTTACTTGCCTTAAATTTGAGCTTATGGGCTCTGCTGCTTGTGAGAGAGAGGCACATTTTAAGCACTTGGAGTAAGTGAAGCTTCAGAAGCCACATGAATGCATTATAGATGGTTACAGTCCCTTCTGTCTAGCTGCCCACTCGCTGTAAACTGTAGTGTGCCAGTAAGTTCAGCCAGAAGTTTTGTCCTGTTGGGGTTGGATTACACTCTCAGTTTTTGAAGGTGTTTATATAGGCATAGTTTCTCGCAGTGTTTTCTTTTTAATGCCCATAAAATCTGGTGTTTCCTTATCTTTGTCAGAGAAATCCTCTGATTTATTGGTACAGTAACTAATCTAGTGCATTTAAAGGGAAGTTGTTATGAATCTCTTTTATTCTATCTTAAGTTTTACAGCGGGATAGGATGTTAGGAAGTCCATTTGCAATGAGGAGGAAGATAGTGCAGATACTACAAGGCCTGCCAATCTGGTTCTTACTTTTCAGAAAAACAAAGTAACTATAGACTAAGAAGCTTACTGGTAATTAGTAGCTAATGTGTTTGTAACTATCATGTGCCTTAAAATTTTCATGGTAGGAGAATAAAAAAGAAAAATAAATCAACAATGTGTTTTCTGTAATACTGCTCAACATTCTCTCTGTAGTTTAGACTGGTGGGGTTTTGCATTGTATTTACACTGTACTATAAATTGAAACACTTAGAATGGTTTGATTTTGCCAGTATGGAGAGGAAAAAAGGTGGATTATGCTTTTCATGGAACAAATGTTACCGTGACAGAATGTATTATTATTATAGGATCTTTCCATAATGCAGACAAGTAGAATGCTTGTTAGAAAACCAGGTATGTAGGATAACAATTTGGTGTGTTTTCAATAAACCATGCCTGGAAAGAATATATGTGCCCTTGGTTATCTTTTTGTTATATCAGGTATCTCAAATATTCTTTTGGCTTTGCAACAGCAGTTTCCTGTGGCAGGGAATTATTCAACGCTAGCTCAGGTCAGCACTCTGTGTTAGTAAAAGGTCAGTGGTAATGAGGGCAATTGGAATATCCTTTAAACTGGTACACCTGGAAATGTTTGATTTATTGCCATATGCTGTAGTTGTAGCACAAAGCCCTCTAAGGGCCTTTGGAATCTAGGCTATGTTTTTTCCCCCCTTTTTAATGTACAGGCCTGCTTCTTTGAGGAAGACCCCTCAGTCACTGCTCAGAGAACTGCACATTTGGGACCACAAACCTAACTTGATGATGTCTTTTCCATTTGAGAAGCTATTTAACCTCTCCCAATTTGGTTGTAAAATTTGTGTAATTTTACAGAGATTTCACATCTCTGAAATGTCTGCAAATATTCTCAAAAATCTAAGTGTAAAATAATAACAGAAAATCTTTTAAGTTCATCAATGCATGAGATTTGGTTTCGACGAAAAAATGTTATTTTGGAGATGTCCTAAACAATTTACATTTGTTACCATGCTGGGGGAAAAAACCCTGTACTGACAAGCCAGTGTTCCAGGTAACAACCAGTGACTGGCACATCTTTTCTGGGTAACTCTCCGAGTACTACCTCTCCCTGGCACATTCATCTGTGTTGAGAGAGTCAGTAGGGCTTCACCTAAACATATTATGGTTATTGGCATTCATGAAACGTGACAAAACCCTGTGAATCTTGACATGAGTGTTGTGCAGAGTCTTGCAGAGTTCAGGTTGGATTTTCTGTGAGTTAAAGGTTGATGAACCATTGCTGACCACAAGAGTTTGCTGCATATTAATGCCTGATTGTACCATTCAGAGGACTGTAAGGTTCCTTTTACTTGTGGATGCTTGCTGACAGCACTGGGAAGGTTGTCTTCAGCTCACTTTCCCTCTGTATTTCAGGTGCAGTGCGTCATGCATCCCTAGGAATCTTGTCAAGGCACTTCCAGATTCTGTTCTGGTGGTAGGAGGATCTATTTTCAAATGTGGTGGGTAAGATGTGAGCTCCTGAGCTTGGCATCTTGTTCCAAAGTAGCATCTGTATTGTACTGAAATGAGGAATCTGATTTTTTTTTCCCTCAGAACGCAGTAGTATGACAATGAATAGCAGATGCTGTGGGTAAGATACTGAGCTAACACAAATATGCTATTTCTACAACTGACCTTTATAGCTGTCAATGTGATTTCATTTTCAGCTTATCGCAGGTTGGGCAAACGGAGGCAGCAAGTCCTGCAGGTGAAAGGTAACCTGGTAACAACAGGCAGGAAATATCACAGCCCTCATCTGTTCAGGTTTCAACAGTGTCCCAGGAGAACATTCTGCCCTTACCGCTCTCTGCCTCTGTCTCACTGTGAAGATCCCTGTGTAACTAAAGAGCAGTGGCGTAACCTCAGCGTGGTGCTGGCGGTGGGTGCTGTGCTGCAGTGGGAAGCAGTTGGTTAGCAGTGGGCCCATCAGCTCAGCTCTACAGGCAGACACTAAAATTATTCTACGATTTTTAAGTGCGCAAACATAGCAAGCTGTTATTCATGTGATACTTAATAACTGATTCTTAATTGATTGATGGCTCAAATCAACTAAAGAAGCGTGCAGCGCAGCCCTGGGGGTGTTGTCTTTTTTTGGGGCGGTTCGGACCTCAGTCATCTCCTGCTCTCCTAGGGGTTTCTGGATGTTCACGTATGCATCTGATGTTTTTGACCCACAGCTCAAAATTTTTCATAGGGTGCTTCCACTTCCTTGTATCAGGAGGAGGCAGCTCCTGTACAAACACAAGATGCTGTTTGCTCTGCTGGGTAATTTCCTCTGTAACGATTGCTACACGAGTGCTATTATGCTTAATTCGGTATTAAAGTAGAAACCAAAAGGAACTTCAGCTGGCTTTGACTTCCTGATGAATTCACTTCCCTTGTATACTGATTTAAAGAATCAGTTCAATATTTTGAAAGATGTCCTGTCCCTTTGAGGTAACAGAGAGGTTGAGCAGAAACCAGGCCTCAATTTAATGTCTTGCCTCAATCACTAAGACTGCAAAGAGAGCAGCTGTCATTTCCAGAATAAAACTTAACTAACAGTACTTGGTGGGATCAATCATTTGTGACGTGTTGTGAGAATTGGCTGATGGTTGTGTTTCAGAAGAGTTCTGTCAATTTGAAGTTTTCTATCACTGATGTGCTCACAGCAGCCTTTAAACACATTTCCAGGTGCCCCATTCCATAACTGGCTCATCTAGGAATAGCTTGTGTCTTCTAATTACAACAGGTTGATACTGCAGTAGCACTCGTTATGTTTTTAGAATATATTTGAATTAGAAGAACGATTGTCTGCCTTTGCTTCTTACAGAATTCAAAGCATGAATTTATGTTAAAAAGTAACCCTTCTCCCTTGGATAGCTCACATTTTTATACTGGTGGCTCAAGATCGCATTTGCTAACTGACCAAAAGCCTATTTCCTAATTGCCAGTCATCTAATCAGGCATTTTCCTTTTCATCCTTTGTCACCAATAATTACAAGCATTTCAAAAGTGTTGTCAAGCAGAAAAAATGATCCTGCGTGTAAAATTTTGTAAACAATCTGATGATGCACTGTTTTTTGTTGGTTTTTTTACAGCTTGTCATGTGGGTGCTATCTTCTTTGTACTACAAGGTGGCAGTTACATAAGCACACATACTGCACGTTCCTTACCTATTAATGCATCTACTGAAATACCCAAGCTAACTCTAGAAGTTCCCTCCTTTACTAATTTTTTTATGGTCTCTTAACCAGCAGTTTGGGCCCACGTAGCAGTAGGAATTTATTTTTCTGATTCTCTGTTGTAGAAGTGCAGAAACAGTCTGTCCCTGCCAAGGTACCCCTCAGCACCCATCTCTGAGACTTCAGTTTGTTTGCCAGTCTGTGCTCAGTGCCCTGCTTTGGCAGGAGTGTCTGCTTAGATGCAGAAGTGTTTAAAGCTAGAAATGAAAGAAGAATCTTAGAAGACACGACCTTAGCTGCACACAAAAAGAAATCTGGTCATCTGCAATTACGCAGGGTTTCCATTGCACTCTGAAAACTCATATATGCCAGTAAACAGGCTTAAGGATTATTTTCTTCTTTGAAACTTTTAGAAAAGTTGCTTGAATCACCTGAAAGATTTTGACCCATTGATATTGAATTGACTTGAATTGTCAGTAACAAGAGGACCTGCTTCTAAGGGAGTTCACCTTGTCTTTCTTGGTCTACTTTTGAACTGTGTCACCCTCGCCTGTAACACTTTTTTCTTGTATACTGTGGGGTAATTTTCTACAATGTTCATTACTGGTGTCCTCAGGATGGATTTTCTGTAGCACCCGGGCCAGGACAGATACCTCTTTAGAAAGGTGAGCTGTAAAAGGAAGAAACTGCTAACAAGTCTGAAAGAATCACTGATGAAAATTACAGGAAAGAGGTTACCTCTGGTTTTGAACAGTTCAGTGTTTCTGTGGTTGTTCCGAGGCTGGAAATCTCAAGTGCAGTGCAGAATCCATGGAAAACAGAGGAAGTCGCTTTTCTTCTCTATTATTTTTTAGTTTTTATTCATAAAAGCAGCCATTGGCTCATTATATAATCACAGCAGGGCATAGAAGGAAAGAAGAGTAGATTTCTGTATTGTTCAGGTGAGTCAAAAGACTTCAGATTTGGTTTTATAAATCTTCTCACTAATAAACCTTGCCATTCAATGCTGACTACAACTCATAGGTTAAACAAGGTGTGCAGAACCCACCTGGTAAAACCCATTCTCACTAAACATACATAATGCTTTAGAGCAAGCAGCTTCCCTTGCCTCTCAAATGCACACACAATATATATACAGTATAATAAAGGAGTGAGTAAATGTAACGACGGGATGAGTAGTATTTTCTCAAGATCTAGTGATGTTGTCATTTTGATATTCTGTTAGAAACAACCTGGTTTTTGTTATGCTGTGTTCATTTTAATCTGCTTGCTTCTCCAATTCTCCCTGCATGTGCAGATATAATAATTTTTTTCTTATGCACAATTCTGTTACACTTTCCCATCACTGTGTAGCTTTGTCTTCTTTCAGTATGTGCCCTTTTCTTCAGTATGGAGATAATTAACATTTTCAGCCATGCAAAAATGCATCTTACATTATTATAGGAACCTTCACTGGTGGAAGTGGCATGAAAATAGTTTAGCATAACCAGGGTTTCTGAGTTCTTCTCTTGCAACATGCATGCTTTTGTCACACTCGGGAATGGTAAGGCAGTTTAGCTTTAGAACATAAGTTCTTAGAAATTGAGTGGCTTTTTCCGTGTTACTGTAACCTTACCAACTGTGGTTGTTCATGTTTGAGCTCAAAATAACAGACTGTGTTGTTTGACAACATGTTGATCACCTTGGGTTTGCTGTATAATGTGAAGCAATGAAGGGGCCTTTAAGTGGATGCCCTACTTACTCCAGATCTTGGTTTCCACCTGATAAAAAATGGTTCCCACTAGGTGATAAGCTTCAAAATACAAACAGCAAAATGTAAAGCACAGTCCAGTTAACCTGTGTAGTTACATTTATGTCATTAGAAACAAAGACCGAGTATTAACAGCTGTCTTTATCCCAAAAACACAGCCTTTTCCATAGCATCCTGCACTTCCATGTATTCCAGCTGAGATGGGTAGGTACTGCATTGGAAACGGGAGTTGTTGCGGATATATTTAACAAATTCAGGAGCTCCTGGGAAGATGATATTGTCAGCCAGAAGAACTGAGCCCTTCCTCAGCAAGCTGCATTCCTAAAAAGAAGAGAAATTGCTTCATGGTGGCTGTTAAGCTGACGTTGTCTTGTATGCAATTTGCTTTTGTATTAACCGTGTCATGTTAAAGTGCATGCATAAAAAATCCGTTGATTTGGGAGGCAGGAAGAAAAGACATAGGAGAAGCTGAACAACTCTATCCAGAGAGCTCAGTCCTTTGTTGTCACGTTTAGCATTCTGATTTACTTCTGCTAACACATTACAGAGATGCTGATAAAGTTGGGTCATTTGGGTTCAGAGATAACAAATCAAGTGCAGTGGAGGAGTGCAGTTTGCTGCTTGTACCGTTTCCAAACACAGGTACATGATTAATAAGTGGGTTTTGTTTTGGCTGTCATGCCTAAAGTTTGACACCTTTTTTTAACATGGCATTAAAACGTTGTAGTGGCTATCAAGGTCATCTGAGAGATTGGAATGTACCAGTCTGCGTTGGCTTGTCCTAGTAAAACTCAAATGTGCTAACAGAGTAAGTGAGATGTTCCGAGCTTGCTTTCCTCTCACCTTGTACAGCTTTCTGCTGCTCTGTTCAGGAGCAGGGTGTGAAGCAGGATTAGTGCACAAGGAAGATCACTTTGACAAATTTCCACAAGACGTGATTATCTTGCAATATTCAGGCAAACTTCCTCTGGCCTGCAACTCATGTAAGCCTGCAAGTGACACGTATTTCTCACTGGTCACCAGGATTTCAGATTGTTTGTCAGGCTTTTCTAGATGTGCATGAAGAGGAATGCTGTCTGGGTCATTTGAAATAGATGCTAAAACTGAGTTAGAAAGTTTTAAACATCTGAGAAAAAGTGGGGAGTTTTTCTACCTCTTTCTGCTCTGAATTTTCTTAGTTTTTAAGCAAAGCAACTTTGTCTCACAGATGCACCAGACAAATCACAAATTTGGAGGTGAACTGCCTGTTTGTTTTGGTCATGTTATGGGGGTTAAGCTCTGATAAGTGTGCAGCTATCTCTTCCTGGTGGAAAGACCTCTGTTATCATTACACAGCCTGTTTAAAAGAAAGCATTCTCTGGATTCAAAATAACTGAAGAGAGAAGCATTTTCTTCAGCTCCTGGTAAATTCAATACTGGCTGTTTGTAACACCAACTTTCCTTTTTGAACAGCTATCAGGAAAACAGGAATGAAATTTATAAACAGGAGAGCCTGGATGAGAAAATATTTCTGTAAGTCTTAAGCAGGGATCAGAAAGGAAGATGGTGGGTTCTCCATGTAGGAGGCAGCTTTGGGAAAAAAAAAAAAAAAAAAAAAAAAAAAAAGGTGCATTTGTGAGGAAAATAACTGAAAAATGGCACTTCCATCCAAAGAAGCAGTTCTAGAAAGTTTTTATCAGTCTGCAGTGCCAAAGCCAGGAGAGTCTGTGTATGCTGTGTAGATAAATCCAAACGTGAATCTTAGTTTAACACTTGAAAACATCTTTCCATCCAGAAGTACTCCAGTTACCCCACTTCCAGTGTTACTTCTCAATGCCTGCTGCATTACAACTTGTTTTGTAACACTAATGGCTATGGGATGTTGGAAAGAAATGAACAAAATTTTTCCTCATTTAGGGCTGCAGATAAAGTTTGGCAGAACTTCTCTAACGGCTTTTCTGGAGCAGTCTACTGTTTTTCTTATGGTTGGTGTAAAATCAAATAATAAGGTGTAAAAAAGGCTCCCAGAAAGATGATAACGCAGCTGTGCTAACAAAATAGTATTTCATCAGAAAGTCCTGCTGGCACCACAATTCCAAGCAGAAAAGGGTGTACTGAGGAAATTGGAGAAGTAAAAGTGGAGCAGCAATATGCAGGTCCCAGATAAAAGTTTAGGATCCTGTCCCCCAAACCTCTCTTTTCATATATTTGCTATTTTGACTGTCCTTCATTTTACAGAGAAGGTACTTCATTTGGAATATAGGCCTCACAGACATTTAGGCATTTGGTACTTTTAAGACTGGAATTGTGCAAACTGACCTGAAGCAGGATGGTGTCTGGTGCATATCTGTCTTTCCAGTGGTCCACGAAGACAAAATCCAGAGTATCCACTTCATATTTTTTTTTCAGCTGGGGGATAATTACCTCTGAGGGGCCTTCTAGGAGTTTTACCTGAAATGCAAATCCATCTGATGAATTGCAAACCATTAAGAACATGCCTCTAGCTCATTTTAAATTGTGGCCAGACATCAATGATCCTGCTTGTAATTCAATATAACCTCAGATTGAGGCTCAGAATGCAGCTTCTACCGTTATTTGGTACAGTTGGGTCATGTGGATTTCTTTGTTGTTGTTTGTTTGTTTTTGTTTTTTTTTAAGCAGTTAAATTCACCCATGTTCCAAAATATTTTTTTTCTCTATTATTATAAAAAGAGGGAGAGGTGAGAAAAAAAAGTAACCTGTTGTTTTTGTTAGATAACATGATTCTTCAGTGGAAACGTGGGAATCTTCTGTTGAAAACAATACTTCTATGAATTTTTTTTAGTTGCATCTCAGTTAAATTATGAAGTTCAAAGTGGAGCAGAAAATGAAAAGCATACAATTCTTTAGAATACATCCAGAAGCTACCATATGGAAAATTGATATGGCCAGGAAAGGAGGAAGGACAGAGCCTATTGTACCTCCCTTACAGGTTTTCTGGCATAAATACTGTTAAGCTGAAAGAAATTGCTGCACACTGATCTGTTAAACAAGTGTCATATTCTGTAAGTGGAAGGAAAAAATAGTAAGGAAATCTGTCTGGTTTATGACTCACAGTTCATCAGATGATTAAATCAGATGGAGGGAAATGCAATTTTAGATGTCACTATTATTTCAAGTTCTCATCAAGAAGTTAAGAAACATCTCTGAGAATCTCATCTTCAAGGTGGGATTTATTTCCAATAGTTTTATCATCTCTGTTGAAATTGGTTGGCTGGTCGATAGAGTGACACTTCTTGGGTGTGAATCCTGTGATCTGCTGTAGGTAACTGCCTGGGGCTGAGATGGATGACAGACTGGAAGCACCTGCCTCTCAGCCAACCATAGAAGGTGTTGAGACATCTCACACTAGGCAAACTTTAGGTGCATATGTATATGTACTGTGAGCAATTATATTTGGGTAAATGTATCTTATGTGAAGTATGTTCACATAATGAAATCTCTTCTGTGAACTTTTGTAAAAGAATTGGCTGTGATTCAGTTCTCTTGATGCTGACCCTCGTATTTTTATACAGAAAACCAGTAGTCCAGCTTTTGAGAGGTAATGCTATCAAGTCCTCAGTTGTACTTCTGTGAGAGATCAGGCACAGAACTGAATTTAGGAGCTAAATTTAGGAGCTGTTGATATAACAGTAAAGGAAAACAAAATGTCTATGAATGAATGTGGGATAGAAATTGTAGAAAAGTTCCTGATTACCAAGAGGAGGAGTCTGTGGGCAGTCTAATTTTCAGTAATGAAAATGGCACGTACCTTATCTTGTACTCCAGCAAACTCAATCATCTGTTTAGCTATAGCAGCAAATTCTGGGTTGAACTCCACAGTGAGAAGACGAGCACCTGCTTTCAGCAGCCGAGCAATCCTAACAGCTGAGTAGCCACAATAAGTTCCCAGCTCCAGTGCAACTTTAGGATTGATCTCTTCCACTGTCTTGTCCAGAATTACACCTGAAAAAAATGGAAACAGGTGAACTTCTAACAGAATGAACATCTGAAGATTAAAAGTACAAACTTTCAACAAAAAAAAAATCTTAGTTTCATGTGTTTTTGAGTGAGGAATTACCTGATTTAAGTATTTTTAGTGTACAAGGGAAAAATGTGGTGTGTTTTTCCAGACCTGGTTGACCAGACCTGACTTCTGAGTGCTTGTATTTGTTGCAAATGTTACAAGTAGTAGCCTGATACAAAACATCTCAGTCTAAATAATTGTCTTTAAAGGGAAAAAGTCTAATCATAAGTTGCAAGATATTTGAATTCACTAGATGAATTTGTAGGATGGAAAACAGTCAATTGTTAACTAAAAAAAAAGTTCTCAAAAAGAAGTGACAGTGTACTGCTACTGCATGTGCAGTCCTTCTGAAAAACTGAATGTATCTTTAAAAACTCAACTCTTAGTTATATGGCTAGAATCTAGATAGCTAATCATAAGAAGTAACTGAAGGGATTTTAATCTGAGCCACAGACTGCCTGAATGGGTGTATACATTGAATTACCTGATTTGTTTATGAATAGTGTGGTGTTAATACTTGCATTCTGAAATCATGTGGTCATTCTGAACTGAGGATACACTAACTTTGATGGCTCTGATAGAGAAGCCATTTTCTCAGAGGAAAACTGGAGTGAAATGTTGAAGAACATAATCCCAAATAGTCCAAGTTCATATTTCTGAGAATTCCTACTGCCATAACCTCACCACCTGGCACGCAGAGGAGCTAGTTTCACAAAATGTACCCCTTGCAGAGAAGCTTTTTTATTACAGTGCTGACAGTTGCACTCCGTTAGTTATGTTAATCCCAGATTGAGCAAATTTTCACTGCAGTTTCCTAGTAAGAGGTACTTTTGTGTCTAATTCATGGTGAACATGTTAACGAACATGTTAACGTTTTGTCATCACAGTCTTCTTTAATAGACTGTAATTTTCCTGCGGCTAAGAGAAAGAAAACTTTTGTCCACATAGTTTCCCTTGGGAGACAAGAATGAGATGACTTACTTGCTCCATAGCCATAACATCTGATAACTGCTTTTGTGTATTACGTGGCTAGGACCCCTCCCTTCAACATTAACTTACATTTATGCTTGCAGATACAAAACTCTTTTAAAAGTTTAAAATACTTGCCACTTTTTTTTTTCTTTCTTTTTTTTTCTTTCAGACTCAGTAACTTTCAGCTAAGGATCTGAAAGTGCTGAAAGTAATTATGCTTCAGGGACACCCTTTGTGGTACCTAAGACACAGCATAACTCTAGATTTCTTCCATCTCGTCCCCCTCTTCTTACACACTTGCACACCACACTACATTTTGATGCTGTGACTTGCTGGATTACTAACTAGATCCTCCTCCTCTAAGATGTTGGCACAACCATGCATTAACGTTTACAGAACTACTCCGCTGACCACAAAGCTGTGGTGGGATTTTTTTGCAGCAGAGAGGACTGACCATGAGCACACAGAAAGATGTCCTGTGTTCTGTTAGTCTCGAAGGATCCTTCAAGTGCTGACCCCTGCTTCAATTACCTTTTACATTACCCACATTCATGGCCCACTCTTTCTCAGAGCAGTATTTATCTATAGTTTCCATCACACTACAGGGGTCTCCTCGGACTGCATTCTGCAACACAAAATTTAAAATCCTCTGTTCTTTGCTCTGATTCATGATGAAATTGGTTATTTTCTCCTTGATTATTTCATGCCAGATCAGGGCAGCAGTGGCATTTTTCCTGATGAGTACCACGCAGAGCAAGGAAATGAAAAGCAGAACGAAGACAATGAACAAAAGGACTGAAGAGCTCTCCAGCATCTGGAAAGAAAGAGGAAGAAAAAAAACAACCAGAGTTAAGGCGGTCCACGAGAGAGCTATAATTTCTTGTAAATGTTCACCCAAATCACGCATAACCTACCGTGTTAAACGCAGCGCACACCGCATAATTATGATACTGTACGATATTGTACCGAGTTGCTGGAAATCCCTCCCTGTCGCTTGGTAATGGACGGTGCTCGCGGCGCTCCCTTTACGAGCCTACTTTACATGCAGTCAACAAGTAGCTTTATTTAATGCTCTGCTCCCTTCCCCCACGCAGCTGCGCAGCCCTGGCTCCAAGCGTGCCGCTGCATGAGAAGCGCTCTGACCGAATCTGTTCTAACTAGTTTTCAAAGGATTCCAAATCTTAATTAGATTCTGCATGTGATCTCATTTTACTGATTTCTGAACACTGGGAAATTTGTAAGTTTTAGTAAGAAAATATGACACTTTTCACTCCAATTTTGAGCCAAGGATCAGCAGACGCTGGGCACAGGTACTATTCTGTATGAAATCGGTTCCCAGGACAAGTTTTTAATGGGCATTCAGATCTCCTTGCTAGCACCTGCCCCTCTTGCATGCTCTGCAGAGAAGCTGAGCTGGAAGGAATTCATCCGCTTCGCTCCTTTTAGTGCCTGCAGCAGAGGGAGCCGGGAGGGGTGGCTCACAGAAGATGGTAGCCTTTCTTACTCGGGAAGCTTTTGACACGAACCATCAATCTGACACTTCTGAGGGAAAAAAAAATACCTACGTATGTTTTTTTAATAGCAGAGATGCTTTCTCACTGGTTATAAAAATGTAAAGCTAAATCCACGAACCAGAGAAGAGTCTAGGTTCATGAAATTCAAGAGATGTAACTAAAGGGCATATTCTATTACTCTGATGGACCAGCTGCAATTACTGATGGGACTGTGCCTGTTCTTCCCCTGAAATTCACTGCCAGCTGCAAGTGCCTGCATGTGCGCAGCATGGGTGGTGTGTGTGTTTGTTTGTGAGTTCAGGACATGTGAACATAAAGCTCAGCAGATGTCACTCTGTACAGCTCAAGCAACAAATCCCCTCAAAGCCGTTTACTGATGGGTTTCAGACAAGCCAGCATAAAGAAAGTTATGTTTATTTCCATGCAGGAGCGACAGAGCAAAGGATCTGGTAAGTAAGCAATCTTCGAGTATTGATTTAGCCTTTCAAAAGGTACCAAACTAAGGTCTGCAATATATTTGTTCTCACTTCCCCTAGGATTGTCTCACAAAAGTCCTAAACGTTAGGGCGGTCAGCCCTCTGTTCTGTACAGGCCCACATCACACGTGGGAAAACCCATACCACTGCATTAAATTTGAGTCATTGTGCAGAACACATGTTGAGTTCAGAAGCTGACTGAGTTGCTATGGAGACACGCTCAACATACAATACAGCTGATGTTTGTTCACCCATTTACTTATCTTAGTTGCACTGTGAGCATAATTTGGAGCAGCTGAAAGTATTTATTTCAAATAGTCACCAATACTAAAGCTTTCCTATACAATGCTTTCCTTGCAAAGACTGACTTGAGATGCTTCCTTTCAGGGCTCACCAGCACCGTTAGCACACAAACATCCTCCTCAGGCTTGGAGTTTTCCTGACATGAACCTGGTTCTTTGTCTTAACAGGATCACAAAGGTCCGGATGTCGAACTTTCTTTTTCCCTTCTATGCACTAGTAGTTCTGGTGAGCAGTCCCTTCCAGATAGAACAGCTGCTCAGGAAGGATAGGGCTACGAAGATAGGGAAGGGTCTACAGGCCAAGAGGTATTAATTAGGAGCAACTGAGGTTTAACAAGTTTAAGTTATTAGACATGGTTTAATAACTTCACTGAATGGACATGCTTGAAGGTAAAAGCCTTCACTTCCATATTATGATTTAATGAGGTTCCAAATGCACAAGTTAGCACTGCAGTCTCTTCTGTGCATTAGAAGCACCCCGATAATGTGACCCAGTTCTTTAAAAACTAACATCTGAAGTGGAAAATAGTAGGTAATATGTGTAAATAAACAGAAAACTGGATGGATAACATCATGGAAAGAGATGAATAACACTTATAGCCAAATCTATTTTCATAGAGTTTAAAAGACAGAGTTTAAAATAAAGAATATTAAAATTTCATGCCCAAACCTGTCCAACTACTGGCAAGCCTTTCAAGGCAGTGGATTATTTTCTTGCGCATCTACTCTTACTCATTCCATTGGCTTTATGAGACCAAATCACAACTCAATCAGTAGTTCAGTAGCTTTCCCTGCCAACTGTAATCAAACTATTATCATTTAAATGGGAATACCTGTTTTATATTACAGAGGTTAAAAAACACACTTTGAAATAAAGAAGCCTACGGAAAACATGAGAATTTGCTATTCCAACTTAGCTGCCTATAATAACGTAGCAAAGTTGTTCCAGTGGCTATAAAACAATCCTGGCTCAAACTTAGGGATCTATTACAATGGCAATAGTTGTTAAGTTAGAGGATTCCTGCCCCTCTTACCTCCATAGGATCTCCAATTTCTCTACAAGTATAAAAGTGTCATGGGCTGGAGCACAAAGCAATGCATCCTGTTCTCTACCTGAACATTCTTGCACAGGTGATTCCAGATGTATCACCACAGATTACAGTAAAGGTCTTTCAGTAATCATAAAAATCTTTTCTACAAAGACATCAGACTACCATTCTCCATCAATGTAATGAGAGTAAACTTTGTGACCCCGAGTCAGTGGATTTAGGTTTGAGTCTATTTTTGGCAATAGTTATCTAATCTGACCTTGTGTGAGTTGCCTTACCTCTGCTGCCATAAGAAGGTTAACATTACTGGGAGTATTGTGAAGCTGAATTAATCTTTAGCAGAAAAGTCCTTGCTATGGAAGAACAAAGTGATCTTATCTGTGTTAGCCAGATGGCTCCATCCCGGGACACTGAGATAGCCAACACCTCTATGAAATTACTAGTCTCGAGTTTATGAAAAACAGGGGAAATGCAGAAACAAAGACTGCTTCATATACTTTGCATAAGTGATTTCAGCCTGCTTACTCATTAGGCCTCTGAGGAACGATGTTACATTCAACACTGCCTTAATTTTTCATGCATATGATCTAACTGCCAAATAGCAGTTGGTTGTTCAAGGGTTTATTACCAAGAACCCAGACAGTCCTTCAACATTCTGATGCTAAAGAGTTCAGAATCTAATTTAGACTTGATTAGCTCACACAACCTGGTGAACGGGGAGTGCTTGATAAATTTATACCCTCTCACTTTTTTCCACAGAAGAATCTCTCCATCAGTCCGATCTCCATCAGTGTTGATGGTAATAGAAATGGATTACAATAGTGGAGTGCCTGGGGACAGCGAGGCCTGCACTACTTGCAGAGATGCTGCTGCTAAGTGTGCAATAACCAACGGTTCTCTAGAGGTGTTCTATAAAAGCCATATAACTTACGATTAAGCCCTCCTACACACACCTCTGTGAAGCAGGTACTGTACCCCCTACCTTTAGAAAAAGGTTGAAAACGTTTTTCAGGATGTTTAAATTCAAGCCTTTTAGAAGCTTGTGCTGAAATTATGCCTTTAGGTGCATGCATTAAAGTAAGTGGAGGATGTGCCTGTTAGTAAGGCTGTATTAGCTGTTTAAGAAGCACTTGAGAAAACAGTGCAGAAGAGTTGGCATGTTTCTATGCACATTTGGAAGAATGTCTGCTTCCCTGCAGTAGGCGGAGATGTGTGCTGTGCCACAACCCAGACAGCATTCCTGACTCTTTGTCCAAGTTCTCTTGACTGAGGCAATCTCTGTTTTGTGGCATTTTGCTTTTCTTGATCTTTTTCCAGAGCATGAAGGGCAGAGTATTTTGATCAGAAAGTTTAAACTAACTTCTGCCAGACATATTGTGTTCTGTTGCTGTAGGGAAAATGATTGAACAGCTTCATATTTTAGACCTTCTAAAAATAAAAAAATAATAATCTTTTTACCTCTTATTCATTATTGTTCACTTGTTCTCAATTGAGTGCAACACTGTGAAGAATAATCACAGTATTGCCAAATGCAAATAGCTTTGCCTCAATGGAAACTCAGTCTGGGCATCAGACATTCACATTTTCCACTGACATCATAAAAGCAAGCTGAACAAATTTTATATACTTTTCACTTGCATGAAACCCAAATTTCCTCTTCTTAGGCTTTTTCAAACTGCATTTTAGCTACCACGACTACAAATAAATAAATAAATAAATAAATAAAATCAGACTTCTATAAATAAAAGTCCTGACTTTCTTTTCCCCAGTCCTTTAATCTTCCTTTTCCTCCTTCTTAGATTGCAAGAAAGCAAATACAAGTTTCTTTTCACTGGACAAAAGGAAAAGAACAGAAAAGTACTTATTGCCTTCCAAGGAGCCCCAGCAACTAAGCTTCATAAGAGTGTTTAACTCCATTCTCCATAGATTTCAATTAGGATAACTGCTATGCACTTAAAAGTTCCTCTGCAATAACTATGGACTGAATGGCATCAGTACTGGCACCCAAAGGAAAGGTTTACATCAGGTTATGTGGCCCCACAGGGTTTACAATAAGCTGGCCTCACAGGCTGACATCTCCATGCAGCAGGCAGGCCCATGTGGATCTGCTGAGCTGTGATTCAGACTGGCCTGATAAACACTGTGCATGATGAAAACCAAAGCCTGGAGAAAGAATTCTTTAAGGGTAAGAACAGCACTTGTCAGGATTGAGACCCTTCCAGATATTCCTAGGAAGCACTTTTTTTGTACTTCCTCACTCCAGAAGTCCAGATGTGTTTGTACTACTTGCACCAGTGCCTGAAGTCAGCTGGTTAGGATGGCTCAGCTTAACAGCACAAATCCCACCTGGGAGGCAGAGAACTCCTAGAAAGTTCAGTGTTCTGCCTGTCAGCACACCACGATCTGGCCTGGAAAAAGTTTTCCAGCTGAGGTTTTTGTGTTCCCCAGGGAATGAACAAGCTTCTTTTGAATGATTCTGCCCTAAAAATGGCAGAAGAGAGAAAAGGCTGAAAGAGAAACGACCAAACTTTACCCCAAGATTAATTATTGTAACAGACCAATATTGTGCTCTTTGTGTCACAAAGACCAAGGGCTGAACTCCTACTATCCCAAATCTCCACTGTGTGGTCCTGACCTGCTTCCAAGGCTACCTGCTGATCTACTGCAAATCTGTCCGTCCCAGCACAGCTTTCTGCTCTGCACAAGCTGCTCTTTGGGCCAGAGAGAGTGAACGATGGAGACGTGGTAGCGAAGATGTTCACTGAGGAGCCTGAAAGAACATGAAGGAAATTGCTGCTGAGCTGAAGGTTTATCTCTATGAACATAAACTGCTCTAGCAGGCCAGGCAAGGTGGGATCTGCCACAGCACAGCGGGTAACCAAAGCGCTGTGTGAAAAGCAGCAGCCTGCTTCAAATCCTGGTGGAATGCCTTCCCCAGAAAAATAGCTGGAGTGGAGGCAGAGTTTCTCATGTTTTAGCTAGAAATTGCGTTTTGAGAAATCCCTCCTGAAAGTCTTAGCAAAACTGGTATGGATGGCCTCACACAGCAAGTTTTGGTTTCAATGACCCCTGCCAAAATCATGTTTTTTCAGAAAATTCCTCATCAGTTCTAATTCCAGCGATCCCGAAGGAATGCAGAAAGTGTGGGACTGGCAGAGATAAACACGATACCAACTCCAGGCTGCTAAGAAGTATTGTTCAACTTGAGTGACAAGTAGCTGTTTGCAGTGTTAGTGTGGTTAAGCTCTTTAACAAACTAAAGCTGAACATCAGTTAATTTTTCCTCAGCACTTATATACTGCAATGCTGTGCAAAGGCAGGACATTTTGAATCTGAGCTCAGGGCTTTGTTAGAGGAGTCCATGGCTCAGTAAGCAGTAAGCTTATGTGCAGAAATTGTCACAGCTGTTTATAAAGATCACCAGTCTGACATGCAGCTAGTAGTGTAAGCATGAGTTTGTGTTTTAAAGAACAGGAGGTAAGGGGTGAGTGTCCTTAAAGGGCAGCAGAGAGAAACTCAACAAGCAGCAACAGGGCTAGCAAGCAGAAGTCCTAGCTTTTGTTGTTATAATTTCTTCATAGACATTTTGCTGAAACAGAATTCCTGACTGAAAATGAAAACTGCATAAAATACAGCTGAGCGCCACGTTTATAAAAGCAGCTATTCATGGTCAATTATTAACAAACTAAAGCCAGACTTGCATTCAGCTTTTTCTCAAGTACAGATAAGTTGCAAATTCTAGCAAACTTACATCCGTAAATTACTTTTCCAGTTTAGGTGGGGTTATCTCATCTCCTTGCTTTCAGCTGTCGAGGTTTGCAATGCAGTAGAAATGCAGTAGAAATGCACTACACACAAATATGTCCTACTCTTTCCCTGAAAAAGCCTGCCAATGAATACCAGTCAAAACGTGGAAAATGTTGCTTCTTTCATGTTCAGCACAGTTTAAAACTGTGGTATCATCTAACAAAACAAATCATGCCAAGTCTGAGAAACAGAAAAATATAAATATGTACCTTTCTCAGTACAGCAGAAGCTGTTCCCTCCAATCTTTTCCTGTGCTGTTCTGGTGGGTGCTTTATAGAATAAGAGTCCAGGAGCCCGCAGTATTCAGTCACGTTCAATCACATCAGAGGAATAGCTTATCGGCTCTGTTACACAGACTCTAAAAGGAGCAGTGTCCTTTTTCCCAACTCCTCCTTTCACAGATTTCTGCACTCCTTAAAGGTGCTCAGTGCTCTCATAATCTCCGAGAAAGCTATCCGTCTGTTCTCGATGACAGTGCTCTTGTTACCTAGTTACAGCACAGCCAATGCTGACAGAGTCAGGTATGAGCCAAATCTGCGCCCAGTATAAATGCGCTGCGTTCAATCGAGCAACTCCAGGAATGAATTTGGCCCAAGGGACATAATTCTTTTTTCAGCTGGGACGTGGCATGTATGGCCAGAGCAGAAGTTGTGGAAACAAGACCCAAGCACGTGGGTTAAACATAGAGTGCTGCTGAAGGGGAGGGGAGATACACACTGCAAATTGCTTAACAGCTGTCATGGAAGGAGGGTAATCAATGTATTATAGTCCAGAGCATGACAACAGAGAATAATGGGAAGTGGATGAAGGGAATAAACATTTACACAGCTAAGAAATAACTGAGGATCACGGTGTTTTCAGTAACCCTTAACAGAACATAGTTAAGACCCTGCAAAATAGCACAGCACCTGGTATCAATACAGAATAACTTTGAAGCATCCCTTCCATGTATAACAGAGCCTTAGCTCAAGAGATATTTTCTTATAATCCAGACATCAAGCAGAACAAAGAATGAAAAAATAGTGCTCTTCAGCTCCACCAACAGTTTCCTGTATGGCCAAAGCTAGCACGAAAAACACGACAGGTTGTCTGCAAAATCCATGATGCCACCCACAGTTCATTATCACTGAGAATTTCTTTTACTGTTGGGCTGTGGTGAAAAAAGCTTAAAACAGTGAAATTTATTCTGTGTGCTGACCTGGCCAAGTAACCATACAGCCTTTTTTTGGAGATGTCTTTAAGGTAACTCTAGCTAGTTGTGAACTGATGAGTGGCACCAGCCCATACTCCACTTCACCGCATAAATTAGTGCCAAAACTCACCAGATTGAGTAGTGTCCCATGGCAACACTTCTAAAGAACTTTCAGCTTTGAGCTGAATAATATTCTTCAGGCAAGGAGCATGGGTGGAGCAAACGTGCAGCAGCACAGAGCTCAGAGGGCTGGCAGAGATGAGCTCAGACCTGTCTCCACAAACTTGACTGGACTTGCAACACACCTCACTGCCTCTGAGGGAGGCCATACGGTTGCAATCACATGATGCACTGTGGCAGTGTTATCCCCACTGTGCAGAGCACTGGGCTAAAGCTTTCCCAGTAAATCCATGCCTGGCACAGCAACAAATGGCATTCCCTTCTTCTAATAACCCTGCTCAAAGATTTTTTTGAAAGCTGCGACAAAAGAAGACAGGAGAGTTAGCACATCACAAGCCCCAAAGATCATGTGAAACACTGAGTGGAGGAAAATTCTTTCGAGCTTGCATTTTCGGAATAGCAGGAGGGATTTGCTTTTATGTGCATTTGCTGTTTTCCACAGTCAAATTAATTTATCTTGCTGAGAAATATGCAAAAGAGGAATTTTGAAAAAGGAAGCACTGTTCATTTATGAATCAGGAAACTGCCTGGAGAAATGTAAAATAAGAAACAACTAACAGAGAAAACAGATGGCCAGAAAAGTCATAGTTTAGAATGTAACACATAATACAAGCAGTTAGGCTACTCTGCATCTTAAGGAGTAACCACAGACTGAAAAACTTCTTGCTTTCACCAGCTTTAGAACTCCTCATGAAAATTGCAGAGCTCTGTTAGTCTACCATAATTCTGTATTTTCTCTCTATACTTTTTTAGTACAACACTTTGAAACTATTTGAACAAAGTCAAGAACTTAAAACCACATCTCATCCTGCTGGTTTTTTGTTTTTGTTTTTTTGTTTGTTTGTTTTGTTTTGTTTCATTTTTGTCACATGCAATGGATTAGTTGTACAGGAGAAACCATGCATGTAAGTTTCTATGGGGCTAAAGAAGAAAATGGCATAGATGAACCTCTGGACAATGAGTCCTACTCTAAATAATCTGAAAATAAAATAAAAAGAAAGCAAAAAGGTAAAACAGCAACAAAGCTGAAATGTTAAACCGATTTTGTTAGTTTGTGCACAAATGTTTCCAGCAGAGGAAACGTTGTAAGCTAACAGATGTGTTATTTGTGACAAGATGTCTTTGGGAGATACTTAGTATGTATCAATGATTTTAAGGAAACAATCACAGATTCCTCATGTCAGGAACAAGGCAAACTAAAATCCAGCTAAAAGTAACATTGGAAAATTCTTGCCACGCAGCTCAGGTAAGAAATGTCATAAATGCAGTAAACATACTTCTGTTGTTCACCCAAGCTCCGTGTTTTCAAACACGTGTCCTCACTTGTCAGCACAAATCCCACGTAGGTATGTTTTCCATTTACTTAGCAGTTTGGTTTGTGAAGTTTCCACCTCGCTTTGGACAAAGTCGAGGGACAGCTAACTGCTCCTCCCCCGCTCCCTCCCCTGTTGCTCTGCCATGTGGTTCTCTCAATTGCCAGGGACCGTTTGTACTTGTCTTTAACCATGTGCATGCCTTTCTTCCACATGCTTCCACATGCTTTCCTTTCCCTCCTTCTTCCTCACTAACAATAAGGACACCGCATCACAAACCAGCGGAGGATAACAAGAAAAAAAAACAGGGTAAAGGCAATCATAAGAGATGGAAAGAAACCAAAAAGTCCCACCTTGCTGTGGAGGCCTTAGTTCAAACAGTGATCCAGTCCTGTTCACTGACACTACTCTACACGATTAATTAGCTCATGCTACAAAATGCAGCTTCAGATATAAATCATTTTCTACCCCACCCACTAGAAACGAAACAATGCTGTGACTTTCAAAGATGGCATCTGCAGCCTCCCACCTCCTTTCCCCACCCCTAATGCGGGAACATTAAGCATAAAGCAAACCATCCCAGAGAAAGATGAAAGATAAAATGGTGCAATTGAGAAGTCCACGTTTCTACAGTGTCAGTTAGGTGTTCTGTCCTGTTTGTCTCCATGTCATGACTTCCTCTTCATGAGGAAGAATTGAAATAAACCATGGGTAAGTGTAACAAAAATTACTTATGAAGAAAAATAGAGAAGTAGAGAAGCCCAAGCGTTCCTTACAATAAATTCAAAAGCTGGAAGTCTGCCCATTAACAGAATGAACTCATGCATAACAAAACTTACATTACTGTTGCATGGACTTATATACATTTGTGACACACATCATAGTATTGTTTCCTTTGACCTGTTAATATTATACTGAATAAACATCCCACTGGAAACCTCACCCAACTCTGGATATTCCATGACTGTATGATTCTAATGTACGAGATTAATTTATGATGTTAAACATTGCTACCCGCAATGATAAAAGTCAGTATAACAATGATAGCAATCTTTTAAGAAGGCTTTTTTAAAAAACCTTTTAAATCCTTTAATGATCAAACTTGTGAGAACATGCAAGAACAGAGCAACAATATGCAAACTTTGTACTTTCCTGGTGGGGAAGTCTTTGCCTGTGGAAATCCACAACGCTTTATCGTGATCTGTGAGATACAGCCAGAGGGCTGGTGCTGCATTCTGTCAGCAGTAAGCAGCAACTATGGATAGTTCTGTTTCCTAGATGACTTATGGATGCCAAGTGGCAGCAGCTGACTCACATTCAAGTTAGAAAAGAGAGGATGTGCTTGGGAAGAGATAAACATCTGAAAGAAGCTAGAATCTCACCACCGCTGTGTAGGCTGTGGTTCTTGGGGATTCTGAGCTCTAAAACGATGAAAGCAACCAGGAATGCTAGTATATGATGTGGCTGTTACACAGAGCATTTGGCCAAGATCCTTTCCTTCAACGCTTTAGAAGCAGTACTCAGAATTGATCAGCATTTCTGTCCTAAATTTCCTCTGACGTTGCTGTTTAGAGGTAGCAATTTTTAAATAAAATCTGCTGCATCTAAGGCCTTCTTTTATTAGGAAGATAAGATAAAGCTGCAGGAACATTTCTTCATAAAAACTCGTTTTGTGTTTGGGGTGATTCAGTTCCACCCTTGATCTGAACCCCACGCTGGGTAATGTGCACGTGCTCAACTCTGCCCAGTTGGCTTCGGGGCAGCGGCTGAACCGAACAGCAGGAACAACTTCATACGCACCGACCTAAAGAGCAAAGCGATCACTGAGCGCGCTTTGCTCTGCGGCACTTACAGCTCTGGCAGCCGCACCGGTCGGCTCTTCCTACCGCCGTTGGGTTGGGGTATCTCTCGTGCAGCTGGAGCCTACTGGAGGAACCGGCTGCTGCACTTGTGCTGTGCCCGCTTCCCCCGGCTCTGCCCCGCGGCTGCCAGTCCCTGAGAGGACGGTGACACTTTTCCTCTCAAAACGATGCGGCCGCGGGGTCATTTATCGCTATCGGCAGCACGAGCCAAGAGCCGGGCCTTCCTCCCCGGGCACGGCTTTGATCGATGCCGCCGCGGCGCCGGGAGCGCCGCCCCGTGGGAGGAATCGGAGCCGCCCCGCGGGGCTTCGGTCCGCATCGCACCTGTGCGGCTGTGCTCGGCCCTCGGCGCGGATGCTGGGCAGGGACGCGCGCCCTCGGAAAACCGAACAAAAGGATTCGCGGCATCGGCAGCGCTTTCCCCTCCTCCCGAGGGCCATCCCTGAAACCGGTCCGCTGCGTTCGAGCTGGCGAGAACTGAATCGACAGAAGCGGTGCCGTTTCTGTCCCTTTCCCGAAAGTTGGATTTGTAACACCGCCCGACTTCCCCGCCGCCAGGCTGCGCGCGCCCGCCACAACCTCCGCTCTGCAGCGGCCGCCGCTCCTCACCGCCGCGCGCCCCCGCCCCCCCGGCGCTCGGCAGCGCTCACCCGCCACGCGCCGCCGCCGCGCTCCGCTCAGGCGCCGCTCGGCCGCCTCGCAGGGGTCCTGGCCGGGCGCGGAAGCCCTTTGCCGTACGGCATGGCGGCGCTGTGGCGGCGCGGGGAGCGCTTCCTGGGGCTGCCGGGGCCGCGCCGTACGGCGCGAGCTCTCTCAGGTACGCCTCTGCCGTGCCCGGCGGTTAGCGGGCCGCGCTCTCGCCCTGCAGCCGCAGCGTCTCCCGAAGCGCTGCCGCGAGCCGCTGGCGGGATGAGGCCTGCGGGGCCTTACCAGAGTCAACGCCGTGCCGCGAGGCGCCGCCGGCCCTCGGCGCCCTGCGCGGGCGGTGCGCGCCGCCTCTCCCCGCAGCGGCTCTCGCAGCCGTGGCCCCTGCTTTCCAGAGGGGAAGGGCCGCACGAGAACGGCGGGACCTCGGCTTAGCCCCGGCGTGACGAGAGCTGCCCGCCTCCGCGCTGAGCCGCTGAGAAGAGTCCCTCGCTTTGGGCAGCGCGGGAATTGGGTGCTGAGGGCTGCTGGAGCCTTGGCTGCCTTGCCTGGGCTGCTGGCTGCTCTGCTGAAGCCCTCCTGTGCTCGCTGTTAATAAACAAAAAGTCGTTCCTCACCTCTGGTTGAATCTCAGATCTCCCCCGCCGCTCAGAGCTGCTTTGTAAGAACGTGCTGACCTGTGGGAGAGGCCTGCTTCCCCCTGCTCGGTGTCGTGCCTTTGGGGCCCCTGTGGCAGCTGGGCTCGGCAGGCCTGATAAAGCGGGCACTGAAATATGTGTGCGGGAATTGCTGTAACACAGGGACGGAAAGGCCGTACCGGATCCTACCCGCAGCTGAGTGTGCAGGAAGAGCTTTTGGGGACGTTGCACAAAATGTGGTCATTTTCTGCCTGTTTGGGATTGCTTTATTTCCTGTGTTTCATGCACAAAACCAGACTGGGTCCTTTAGTGATTTTCTGGAGAATGCTTTGGAACACTGAAGAAACACAATACTTAAACCAGGGTTAGCAATAATCAGTTGTAAACAATAGTGTACCTTTTTAAATTTGCCTTTAACACAGCTCTCCTGTCTTTCTTGCCTGTTTCTTTTTTTTTCTTCTCCCCCTATTGTCCCCCCAACCTCTTCACAGGAAAGAAGGAGTATGACCTGCTGGTCATTGGTGGTGGGTCTGGAGGCCTTGCTTGTGCAAAAGAAGGTTGGTATAACCAGATAATAAAAGCTTTATGTTAGCTTAGGTGTTGTATGTGGAATCTAGAAGTGATACAGAAAATATTGAACATTTCTAAGATACATAGTATACTGTGCATGATTAATTGTCAACTTACCTCTGTCAAACTGATCTGAAAATTAATTCATGCCCTCAGGTGTGATGATCTTGTTTGGCTTTCCTGTTATTCTTTTTAAAAAATATTTCTTCTGTTGTCTCCAGAAAGTCTAATCTTTATTTCACTGTTTCTGAGTGCTTCTGCAGATGGCATATTTTTGAAGATGGCATGTTTTTCTTTTTATACTTTCCATATGTATCAGCTAAAACATTTCATTCATGCTGTTTCCAGGACCTGTCTAACTTCTGTGGAGAGTCTTCTGCCTTTTGTAGTGCATTACCCCATGTGTTCAGTAACCCACAAGATTCTTAAACATCTAATTTAGCATCAAATTATTGTGTTCATGGGCCCTAGTCTGGGTTATTAAATGCCTTCTGGAGAATATACTGACAACATCAGCAGCCTGGGCTCTTGGTGTGATGTCTAAAATTATTAAAAACCACCAGTTGTCATCTCCTGTACTCTTAATCTGTGCTTCTGCTAATAAATATATTTAGGTTTCAGTGCTTCTCCTTCATCTAAATGTGTTTTCCTGCTTTTTGTTTAAAGCTGCTCAGTTTGGCAAGAATGTGGCTGTTTTGGATTACGTCGAACCTTCTCCACGAGGTATGAAAGAGGAATACTAGAATGATATCTGGATATATGAGTGAAGCTATGGCCTGGGTCAGCAGGTTGATCCAGGCAGCAAAGTGGCCAAAGCCAAGCTGCATGCTTTGCTTGTGGCAAAAGATAGAAGCTCTGTGTTGTTTCAGAACTGTAGAAGTAATTGCATGAATAAATAATTCTCCAAATAACCCAGTTATGTTGTTAAACTCAACTGATGTGGGTTTTTTTGTTGTTTGTTTGTTTTCAGGAACCAAGTGGGGACTTGGTGGAACTTGTGTAAACGTTGGCTGCATTCCTAAAAAGCTTATGCATCAGGCAGCCCTTTTAGGGGGAGCTCTTAAAGATGCCCAGCACTATGGCTGGAGTGTGGCCCACCCAGTTCATCACAGCTGGTAAAGAATGTTGCCCTCCTTTGCACTCCTTTGTCCTGTGAATGTGTAAGGAAGCATGCTGTTGATGTGCAAAATGATTTTCACTGAAGCTTGTTAGACTACCCCTTGTTTAAAACAGAACTGTAATTACTAGCTTATGGGGGCAGCTCTTGTGTTGGTCTGCACTTTAATTTGCTTTCATAACAGAAAGTATTGTAGAACTTCAATAATTTCTAGCAGTCACCTGGATATTTGAGCTGTATTGTCTGAATTTGTAATACAATGTTTTCATGTTCCATTTCTTGCCTTGTGATAGGTCTGTGATGGCTCAAGCTGTTCAGAATTATGTGAAATCCCTGAACTGGGGACACAGAGTGCAGCTACAAGACAAGTAAATATGACTTTGAAGTTCATATTTCCTCCCACAATCAGGGAGCTCTTCTCCTTGTAGAATCAATTACTTGCCTTTGGAATTTCTCATTAGAGCTAGCACTGTGACTTTATGTCCCTTCTGCTCTGGACTATAGATGTCCTTGCCAGTGTAGGTGAGATATTCTTTTCCCTTCTTTTTCTTTTCTGTAGTGGTTGAAAGTGACCATGGCTGAAGGCTTTCTAACAGCATAGCAATATTCTTGGTGATCTGGAGAGGTTTTGCATTAATATTAAGTAGTCAGGTTTTAGCAAAATAATTTCAGACTTGTGCCCCAAGACTTCTGTGCCATACGTACAGGCCTGCAGGTAACACTATACTAAAGCAGCTGAATTTTTTGCTTTTAGTGCAGAAATAATTTATCTGACATACCCAAGTTCTTCAGCATGTGATTCCTTTTGTAGAGTGATACTAATGTAGCAGGGACCAGTCTGTGACTCCTGCTGAGTGACTTCTGTGTGCTCTCAGAAGAGCATTCTATTAGTAATGTTCTAAATAGTAACGTTATGGACAGTGGAATGTGTATCATTTGAAGAGATCACTAACCTGATACCAAAGCCTGCCAGAGCATTAGGTGCTGAATAGAGGAGTGAAGTGATACAAGAATTAAGTGGCAATTGTGTGGCAGAGCTGCAAATAATTCAGTGATGTGAGATGCTTCCTTTCTTTTCTATTCCTGATGGCTTTTTTCAGGACTTCAAGTAGGGAAAAAATAGGAGTTTTCATCTGTGTTCTCCTTCACTGAATGTGTGTTTATGTTGTTGTTTTCTCCCGAACAGAAAGGTGAAATATTTCAACATGAAAGGAAGTTTTTTGGATTCCCATACAGTCTGTGGTTTAGCAAAAGGAGGTAAAAAGGTGAGCTGCTCTACTGGTTTCTGCAGCATAGTTCACTACAAGCATCTCAGGTTTTGGTGTGTCCAAAATCTACTTTCTGCTCTGAGTATTAAACCAGTCTGAGATGTGTCAGGAGAACTGCAGAGACACTGAGCTTTCTAATAGAGAACTGTGTGTAGGAAGCAATTATACTGAATGCACCGAATTTGGCTTCAAACAGATGGGTTAGGTAACAAAATAGTGGCTATCTCTGCTTATTTGACAAAAGACTGAATGTGCTTTTTTAATGCTTTTTGTTTTGCTTTGCTTTTGTACAGTGTTACTGGTTAATGTCAGCCTGAGAGAGAAGTTTTCAGGGGGTAAATGTCTTTCAGGGGCACTGTCTAAAACTATGCCCCCGTTGAGATTTCTTAACAGTAGACCTTAGAGATGAGTCACTTGGTGTGATCTCTCCATGTTTTGTCGTAAGCTGCCATTTGTACACAACTGTTCTTTCCAAGTAGTCATCAGAATCTTATCTACCATAATAACAATTGCATGGTGAACATTAGTAGCAGAGTATGTATAGGAGAAGCCTTCTGCCTGTATTATTTTGCTTTACCCCTGGCCTTTTTTAACATTTTGCTGATTGTTATGTCAGATAAATAGTAGGCGGTAGTGCCAGCTTGCTCTCATATTGCTCATTTCAGGTGCTTGATTGTTGTGTTTTTGCTTGCAGACTACTCTTACTGCTGAAAACATTGTCATTGCTACTGGAGGAAGACCCAAATATCCCACGCATGTAAGTTACACTTGCCATTTCACAACTTCAATGACTTTACTGTTGTGGTCTCAGATAATAACAGATGTTCAGAGGATAACGTAAACATTGCAACACGAGACATTTCTTATCTGAGTGTGAAACGCTATTTTTTGCATGAGCTACAGGATTTTCAGAGAAGCACTTTTATAGAAAACAATTTTCATCGATTTACTATGTTAATGTTCGTAGCATCATGGAGTCATCTGGGCTGGATAAGATCTTCAAGATCGTGTGATCTTGCCAGTGTTGCAAATTCAAGATCTTCCCTGTGTGTTTGTAGATTACGGGCGCACTGGAGTATGGAATCACAAGTGATGATCTGTTCTGGTTAAAAGAGTCTCCTGGAAAAACGTAAGATACTTTAAAATGGCTTTAATACGTTGCAGCATTTATACATTTTACAGCAAGGTGAAAAATGTCCAAAATTGCCTTTTCTGTCATGTTTTCCTTCTGAGAATTTGTTTTACTACGCAGCAACATCTCGCTATCAGCTCTCATAAGTAACTAGCACAGATTTTTCTTTTTCCCATGCTATTCCCGTTTAAAATGAAATTAAAATTGAATTTTCATCGTTGGTGAAGGCGACTTATTTGCTGTGGCAAACTTCCTCTTGGAAGCCACAAGAGGGCAGCATGAACTTAAGCAAAGGCTGTACCGTCCCGATTCTTTGCTACGGGTTTACGAGAAGCTGCTTCTCAATTGGAAACCCCAAGATAATGTTACGTTCTTTTAAGCGATGGCATGTCTGATAATCCTATCATCTAGCTGCATTTTCTTTTGTTACTTTTGCCCCTTTTTATGGTTTGAAAGCTGTCGATAAATTGAAATAATAAAACCTGTTCTTTTCTATGTAAATTGTCACAGCATGTTTTACAGCACGTAACACAGTAAGTTTCTGAATCCACACAACACTCCAAAGCATTTTCTTGATTCAAATAGCTGTGGTAAGAAATATACACTTGCTAGCATGTAAGTCAGCTGGCACTATTTCTGTTTGTCTTTTGGTTGTGCCTGTGTCCCCGGTTCAACGTCTTCACGTGGTTCTGAACAGGGAAATTATATATCAGAAAGAGGCTTGTAACAGATACAACGCTAGTGCTTTCAAAAGACAGAGAGCTGGCGTTCATGATCATGACTTTCTAATGCAAAGATACAGTGTATGCTAAGGTAAGCATCAAACAGATAAGGGCTCATTGGTACAGTTTAAAAACAATTAAATTTGCAGCTCTTTGCATTATATCAGTCATTTCTTGAATTTTGAGAGCATGATTTATATGAGGAAATTACAAAAAGTGAAGAAAGGGGGGAAAAAAGAACACTTAAACATAAGGCTTATCCTTGCAAGATGTTTCTGTGAAAATGTGGCTTTTGTCCAGTTGCTTCAAATACGTGTTGTAACAGTGTAATATGGGAGCCTAGTGTTTATATGTTGCATTCCTAAGATTTAGTCAAAATAAGCCCTCGGGGACTACAGTAGCATTTCTGTACTTCATCAGGCTCTGTCCTAGCAAATGAAGGAGGGAGTTGTTAAAGGTTTGTTTCTGACGGATTTGTTTCTTTTATAAATACTCCCAAGGTTCAGTTTAACACTTTTTGTTTTTCAGTCTGAGCTGTGTTTTACTTATTCTTTCTTTTTTCCTCTTCCAAATGTACATAGCCAAGCTGTGAATGAATATGGCTGGAAGTTGTAGAACTGTCAGTCCTGCAGTTATTCTTTCTTTCTTTTTTTTTTTTCTGAACACAAACTGTTGGCCAAATTAAAAGTCCCTTAGATATACAAACAAGGAATTCTTGCTACTGAGATGAAGGCCTTGGCAGAGTGAGTTAGAAAAGGTGCCTTGAAATATGTTCAGAATGAGTGAGAGATTGAGCAGGTGTGGCAGAGGTTAGGTTCTGCTTTTAAAACTTTTCAGTTAGGTGCCCAGGAATCATCAAGTTTGTAGAAGAGATGGTGAATAATGCGTGGCTGGCAGCTGTTTTTCATTTGATGAGAAAGAACAAATGCATGCAGAAGCTGCAGATATTCTGACTCTATTCCCTGTGCATCTCCTCAGATATTTCTTTATGTGCAGTGTGTGGCTTTTTGCAGCAGTTCCCTGAAGTCTGCAGGCTGAAAGAGGGGATGTTCATCCATTCACAGATTAATCAGATAGTGTAATGCTGGAAAAAATATCTGCCTGTGTGTTAGATTATTTGCCAAATGTAAAACCTAAACCGGTAGATTTTGATCTTTTGGTAAGAGAATATGATAAGGTTTTGTTTCAAATGCTTGTACTTTGTTGCTTTTGCTCCTAAAATTAAATAACGTATTTAAAATCTCTGATGAGTTTGTGGTTCAAGATTAAGTACATTTCTGAATTTAAGTAGATTTCTATCATCTCTAGCTTTTTAAAATGCAATTGCCAACCTACTTCTTTCATACCCGAAAACTCTCAGCTGTTTTATGGCAGGGAGAGACCTGCTCTGTAAAAACAAACAAGTCCAGCAGAACTGTGCCAGTCATTGCTGTGCATTCTGGTTCATGGTGTGTTGTTCTCCCCCAAGTGGTCGAAAGTTCTTTATGAAGCATGTGCTTCTGTAGATGAAGATCCCAGTCAGAAAGAGTCTTAACATTCTGTGTAGTCCTTGTAGCAGTAATTAGGTATTTTGATCCCTAATGATGCTTTTTTCCTTATTGAAAAATGCAAGAAAAAGCTTTGTTGTAAGTATAAGTATTATTTGGAATGCATCTCTAAGCAGTGAGATGTTAACAAACCTGCATATCATGTGAGTAACAAAGACGTGTGAGTGCAGCTTGCCCAGCAGCTGGCTGTCAGTGACTGACCAGTTTGACCCACTTCTACCACCAGAACAGCGACTGAACTCTTTGTCTGTTGGATACCCAGCAGACAGCAGACAGAGGGAACTGAGGATATGGAAGAGAGAGGACTGTTACAGCGTGCAGGTGTCTGGGTACAGGCATAGAAACTGGTGTTCTAACTTCAAAATGCTGATGAGCAACTTCAGTGATATTTGTGATTGAAAGAGTGCGAAATGCAGGGAGCCATAGGATCTGCAGTGTTATTCAAGACCTAAACAGGATATATTTGATTCATAGTAGTCCAATTAAATCTATAGTTTGAACTAGATTATCTACAGCTATGTACTTGAGCTTTTAAAGACAGGAAAGACAAATATTTGTCATTTGGATAAATAAGATGATGAAGAAGTGGATGCCTTCAAATCAAATAGAAATTTAGCAGTTAGTAAAATCTCCTATTCTCCTTTTGGGAACCATAACCTACTTGATAAAAAGATGATAAATTCAGTATGTGCTTAACTTCTGATTGACTGAAGTTTTCAAGAAGTTTTAAAAATTGGTTTGTAATTAGGATATATCTCAAGATTTTGAAATATGCTTTAATTTGATGAGGTGCATGTCTGTGCACTAATGTGTTGTGTACTGTCTCAGAAGCAATGGTGCTAAGAGACCCTGAAAAATGAGGCATCGGTAGCAACAGACACTGTGTGTTTGGGGGAAAATAGTGTCAGTTTGCAGTCCAGATGCTTCCATCTGAGGTGAACCACAGAGCACAGCTGAAGTATTCATGATACCTCTTAACCTTGCTGGCTGTTCTGATTTTTTTTTTCCATAGCTTTCTTCACTTTGACTTTCAGAATATATGTTCAAGTATCTCTTTACAATATAAAAACACTTCCATGTGTCTTATATGCCTGTTATTTTAAAAATTCTGTTTAGAAATTAACCTCACTTGTTTTAGTATTGTCTTAGTTGGAGTTGGCAGGCTTTCTTCCCACTTAACAATATCAGATCCACTGCTCAAATCTGTGATCTTGTAACTGCACACACTTCCAAAATAATTGTTGTTTATGCAAATATGCACAAGTTAATTCCACAGCTTCATTCTTTCTTTTTTATATAACAGGTTGGTTGTTGGAGCCAGTTGTATCCTTTGAAAATCTGTGATAGCTTATGGTTATAAGCAGCATAGCTGCCTTTCAATGAAAGCTTGATTTCCGAAACTCCTGTGCTCAATGCCCAATATAATGGGAATAATTTTCCATGCAGTAACATCATGGGTCAGCTGAAGATGAATTCTCAGGATCTGGAAAACAGTCTTGTCTCTGAGGAAAGTAATATTCTAAGGCTTTGGATTTTTATACCGTTCAACAAAAGGAAAAGATGTGTGAGGAGAACGTGGTATCTGTAGATAGAAACACCACTTGTATGCTACCTTTTCCTCTGTTGCATTTATATGAAACCATTGTTTATGCTTCTTTAACTGATACTTCACCAGATGTTTCGCTTGAATGTGCTGGTTTTCTAACTGGTATTGGGTTGGACACTGCAGTCATGATGAGGAGTATCCCACTTCGTGGGTTTGATCAGGTCAGTGCAGAATATCTTGCATCTCCTTGTTTATCAAACCCAAGGTATGCTTCATTATTTTTGTCTCCTAAAGAAAGGACGACATTGGCTTTTCCAAACATTCCCAGTACATAATTTCTGAAGAGTAATTAAATGAATATTAGCTCATGTTTTCCTATCGTATCACTTGATCTTTTATTCAGAAAATTTAATCTTTTTTTTTCCTGCTTAACTGAAAACAGGATTGAATAGATGGGAAGCAGGGAGGGATATGTACTGTGCCACTGCTAGAAGTATTAGATGATTTCTTTAAAACAACCCAGAGTTGCTAAGAGTTGCAGATAATGATTTTTAAAGTAAATTACTGGACTTAGCATGAAGTAGTTCAATGTGGAGATCATTATGGTGGATGTAAGTAAATCTCCAAGCTGAAAATTCTTAGTGAAATAGGAACTGGAAATCATGACTTCATGACTTTCATAACAGTGACAACTGCAACAAGGTAAATAAAAAAGTGTAGGTATTACATGGAGTGAGAGTGATCTCAGTGGAACCATCAACCCTAAGATGGAGAAAGGTGTAAGCAAAAGAAAAGTTTAAAGAGAAAAAACTGTTTCAAGATTGGGGGAAAAAGTATGAGTGGCCACAGCTGCACTGACAAACAAAAAACAGTTTTGGCCATAATTCCCTTCCTGTTTAAAAAGAATAGAAATACAGTGGAGGGGGAAAAAGAAGGGGGGGAGGGAGTTATGTTAAAAACAGATTTATTTGCTTAAAGAAGCAGTAGTGGGAAATATAGTGGCTTTGGCTTAAGGACAATGATTGGACTTAGTAAAGGCACTGATTGAGTGTGGTTTTGTAGCCCCTGTTGGGAGAATATTGTAAAGGTAATTGTAGATCTTCTGTCTCTTCAAGATTTGATGCTAGCATTACCTTGATTTTTGAAGTTTGTGTGGTGTTCTTAAAACAGTAAGAGAATTCTGGTTTCCACTCACACCTGCACTGATTTTTTTTTTTATTTTTTTAAATGTGTAACAGCTCAGTTTTGAGAAAGGATATTGTTAGAAGAAGCAGTGATAAGTACCACTGCAGGTAATGACAGCTTCTGCTGGCACACCAGCCACCCGTACTTTAGAGTCTTTTCCTTAAAACTCGTGGAATGTGTAGCAGAATTTGCAAAACCCTGTATAAGAATGTGCCTGGGGAATTGCACTCAATGGAAGAAATCTGCATGAGGAATGACATCAGATCTGAGTGAGCAGGGAATAGCATTAGAAGTATGTGTGTGGCACTTTAAAAAATACAGTAGGGCTTTCTCTGAGAACTTGATCTTCTGCAGGCAGCAAAGCACAATAGAAATTTCAGAGGTAAGTTGGAACAGATATAAAATAATTGCGTTCAATCTGTAGCCACACTGAGTCTGATGGAAACTGATTAGTGAGCTGTCACGTTTCTGAAGTGATATAATAACCCTGTTGTTGCTTTCCTGTTGGTTAACTAACATCAAAAATAAAGTTCTGTAAGTCAAGACCCTGCATGTAGATCTTGTGTGAGCGGTTTTGTGATGCTGTCCTTTGAGTAGTAAAGATATCCTTTGACAAAGTACAACCCGAATTACTGCTGTCAAGAGCAGTGACATCTTGGATAAACTTGTCAGTGTTGTGCTTTACTCACTGCTTGTGGTGTGGCATTATTTCAAACAAGCTCTTGGGACAAATGCATTATTTCCTTTTTGTAGTAGAACTTTTCAGAAAATTTTAGGGGTTTATAATTATTGCAGAGAAATGACAGGTGTCATGGCAAAGGGAAGTATTTTTCTTAATTAGCTTTATTAAAGTGTTGAATTCAGCTGCCAGAAAACAGCAATTGTGGTAATGAATTTGCACTAGATGCTATTTTTGTATAAAAATCAAATTATTATACACAAGTTTTTACTCACTTTTTAAAAATAATCTGAATACTCAGATGCAGGTACCTCTTGGAATAGAGGTTGCAGGTCATTGTAGCTCAGCAAATTGTCATGGGTCAACAGTGCACAGTAGCTAAGTGACAAAGAATGTTTGAAATATGTGGTGTATTTATTGGATTTCATAAAGGCAGCTGAAGGTTGTGTCTAAGAATAAATGCTTTTTCTCCTTGCTTGACAGCAAATGGCATCTTTAGTAACTGAGCACATGGAATCTTATGGCACAAAATTTTTAAAGAAATGTGTCCCAACTAAAGTTGAAAAATTGGGAAGCAGCAAGTTACAAGTCACCTGGAAAAATACTGACTTGGGCACAGAAGAAACGGATTCCTTTGACACAGTGATGTGGGCAGTAGGTAAACCTGATCATCTTTATGTTTATTTGTAATGCTTTCCTTTCTGAAAAGGAAACTCCTTCATGTTCTATGGGGCCAAACCTATTTTTAAGATTTAGTATCCTAAAGGTCAGTCATTTTCAAATTCATTTCTTCCACGTGTGACTTGTTCACTTCCTAAAGCCCCATGGAAGTTACAGTGAATGAAGCAATGCACAGTAATTACTTACGTATGAAAGGCAATGAATGTGATGCTGTTTAGTCGTTGAAACTTTCCCAGAAGGTGAGAGCATGAATGCCAGCAACCTCTGTCACTGATGTTCTGTAAGTACTTATTTGTGGAGATACTCACTGCAAGATTGTATTGGTCTTACCTTCGAGGTTAGGTTTCTGCTAGGGATTTCTAAACTGTTCTTGTTAAGTTTGTTACTGCAGCCATCATTCCATCCAGGGAAGTAGAAATAATTCTCTCTTAAATGAAATCCAAACTCGTTGCAGGGAGCTTTGGCTCTTGGGAGATTTTTGCAATGTTTCAGATCCTTCACATATCTCAGACTCCTCAGAACTGATACACAACGCCTAAATCAGAGCAAATAATTGGGAAATAGTTTCATGACAAATAACTTTAAGTATAATCACCAAAAACAGGAGTTAAATCTATTTTCTGCCTCCTTTGAGTCAAATATTACTTCTTGTAAGTGCTAACGTGCTAAATGATGTACGTTACAAGGCTCGACAGGAACAAAAACATTTGTTCCTGCTTACTTCTCCAAGCTGCTTGTTTCTTGTATTGTGAGTCAGCTCTCAGTTCCTGTGCTAGTTCTGATGGACTTGCATGCCCATTGGAATTGGATACCTCTTGTTTCGTCCTACATGGCCCTCTAAATATCTGAGATACTAGATACATAATGAACAGCTGAAGGCAGCAGTGGTGTTTAGAAAGCAGGTATCTGGTGGATGTGATGAATAAAGCTTAAACTTGCTGCCCAAAAAATCTGTTTTGATGCAGAAGAATGATCTGTTTTACATCAGCTTTAAGAACTCCTTTTAAACTATTGCATTTTTATGTTATTCTTCTCTAACATGACTGCTCTATAGAAGCATGAGAAGCATTACTTATTCACCTGTTAATCAGATTGAATTTAATTAGTGAAGTCACAGAATAGATCAATTTATAGCTTTGTGTTCTGCCCAGTGGACTCAACCTACTGTCCTGTTGTCCCTTCCCCCTGGTTATGTCTGCTTTGTATCTTCCTCATGCTCTAAAGAGAGAGCACGCTGTGTCTCATCTTCTTTGGATTACTTTGATTGCCCTTTTCCTAGAAGTGTAAAGTGCTTGTGGAAACTACAGAAACAACATCTGATAGCGGGTTGTACTCACCAGTACCAAAAACACTCCCGCTTTCTGAGAGCAAAAATGCTGTCTGGAACAGCAGCAATCCAGAAAACTGGGGAATGGTATTTCTAAAGCGAAACAAAGCCTGCTTTTCCTTTCTACTTCTTTTTTTTTCTTTCTTCCCCCCCCCCAAAGCCTGTATCTAAATGCAGTCGCTGATTTTTCTTTCTCAGCTCTCTGGTAAAACCACGCTCTCATGCAGAGTCACACCTGTGATATTTCAAGTCAATTTATTTTCTTTTGTCAAAGATTAAAAATGAGCTGTTAAGTTGAAATAACACCATAAACATCTTGGTTTAATACTAATTATAATAAAGTTGCATCCTATGCTGTTACAACTCTAGTTGTAACATGACTGCACTTGCTATTTTTAATACAAAAGAGCCATATTCGTTGTAATTCCTGTCAGAGATTTGAGTTGTGATCCATGTATAGAAACTGAAAAATGAACAGGTTGGAGTTTCTGTGGTTCTTTTGGTGTCTTTGTAGTTTGGGCTTTTTTTTCCCTTTTTTTCTTTTGTTGTTGTTTGTTTAAGTGTTCCAGTTGGCACTCCACACTTAAGGATTAAGAACATTAGCAGTTAAAACTGTTTAATCGATGTGCAGTCAGTATGATTCATTGTTTTTCTCTGCATCAGCACACCCACACCAGGTGTCTCAGATAATAGACTGGGAAACTTGGTGGTGTTGAGGATTTCCTGTCTGCAGATGTGCCAGTTACAATACTGATTGAAGAAAGTCAGCTTGTAGAGTTAGTTCAAAAGCAGCCGCTGTGGTTAACTAATTGTAGCCTGAATTATAGTAGATCTTCCCTTGATTTTTGTGAATGTATCTGTGAATGGATTATTACAATTAATAGGATTCCATGAATGATGTTAAAAATGCTTACTGACAGTGGGATGATTCAAGGTTGGTAAGCTACAGATCCAATGTCTTAACATGTAACCTTGGTGGGGGAGCAGAAAAATTAGTTTGTCTATATGAAGAATTTTGTTTCTATTTTATTGGAATGTTTAATTTCCTACCAGTATGAATAAGCTATTAAAAGCAGACTTTACTTTTATAGCAGATTTTTGTACCAGTCCAAATGTTTGAGGCAAATAATATTTTGATAGATTTTACTGTAACTTAAAGATTTCAGTCTAAAGCTTTTACGGGTTATTACTACAAGCTTTGTGTTACTGTGCTGAGCTGGGAAGCAGGCCACTGAAAACAGCTCTTGCTTGGCCTCTATTTCTGTCTGTTTAGTCAGGTAGTGTCCTTCTGTTTTTCACTACAGCTCTGTCAACTGCTCTTGTGAGAATTCTCCTGAAATAAGCACCTGAGATATTGTTTCTGTATTGAAATTATGCATATAACTTTTAGTATGACAAAACATTACATCTGCTCATAAGGACACCAGAAAACCTTTTAATGATAAGTGCCTGATGTACCTGAGCTACAAAACAACATTGAGTTTGTGCTTGCACAGATGGAACACAGGGTGTTTGTCCAAAGGAAGGGGTAAAGACTGACACATTTAATCCAAGATGCAAGCGCTGATCTGCGGGGCAAAGCAGGAGATGAAGCTCTGTGCAGTGCACTTGTTCAAGCTGTCGGAGGAATGAAACTCGTATTGAGTTCTGCAGCTGCAACCAGCTAATGTGCAGCAGGAAAGGACAAGTTGTATTTCCATTTTAATTTGCCGTTGATGGCAAAACATTACTGCTGCAACTGGCATTTGTCCAGATGATTCATAAGGTCCTTGGAAAAGATATTGAATTACTGTGTATCTGATGGGAATCTTACTCTGTGGAGGAGCAGCTCCGCACTGATAATTAAACTAAGCAGGTGTTTATAAAATATCCTGGAGTTAGTTCGACAGAGAAAGTGGGATAGTGCACTAGTGAATTGTTATTAGAAAGAGTGGTGACCAGAAGCAGCTCTGAAGTCCAGCTTTACAAAAGAGAAATGGCTCATTGATGAGGGCAATGGAACAACCGTTCTCAAGTGCCTTTGCATTCATAGGTTTGTTAGAGGAAAGCCACCGTGAAAAATAGAAAAGAAGAATATCATCTTTTCTATGTGGTGTGCTTAGTCAAGGCTCTGGGTCTCTGTTCTGAACTCCGTGTGTCTCTTTCTCATTAATTTTTATCCTTGACTGTCTTAATAAGATATGATTTCTTCATTCCTTATGAAAGTAGTCACTCTCGTTACATCACTCAGTGATTTTTTTCCCAGTGTATATTTTTTTGTGACATTCAGTCAGGCTTGTTTCTACAAGGCTATTTTTAATGTGCTGGTAATATATTTGCATTAAAAGGGATGCAGATGTACATTTAACTCACCCATAACTTTGGATGTAACTGTATTTTATTGTGCTTACTTTATCAGCTCATAACTACAAAACTAACTGCTCCTTATTGGGGAAAAATTACATATTAGAGTATGCCTTTAACTTGCACATTAGAAAACATTTTGGAATCTGAACTGTAAGATGACATTTGGTTCAAGAAGTGATGGCTAGGTCTGAATGGTGGCTTAAAGAAAGAAAAAATGGCAGAAAATACTCCAAAGTAATTTTGTATAACCAATATAATTAGTGTGACTTCTGCAGAATATGGGTTCTATTCGTCTGTAAGTGTGTGGGAGACTGAAGCTGATGGCCTCACTTGGCAGTGGTTGATGGGTTCTGATTTTTGAGACTGCAGCAGCAGCCTTAAAGGGTGCGGAAAACCTTTGGTTACTGCAAGCTCAGTGTGGGAGAACTGATGTGAAGGTGAACTGTTCTTTTCATATAAGGAAGCGTTTCCTGCACACTTTACCTTGCAGAAGACCTTGAGAACAAAGCAAATAACAGCTGTTAGAAGGCAGCCCTGTGCTGTAAGATTTACCTTGGTCACAGTGCATTTGGAGCAGCTTTTTTTTTGTTGTAGTTCAGGTAGGACCACAGTGGCCATCCGTGGCCTTTTGTTGCCAGGTGCAGGTAAGTTCAGCTGTATGCTGGGTGGCGATGGCCAGGCAGGGACTGGTTGCACTGTGGCTGCCAGAGACTTTCTCATCTGCATCATCAGTATCACTAATCAGTGCTAGTAGAAGTGCTTCAGCCAGACAGACGTAGCAAAGAACCAGCTGCCCCAGCACTGACTGGGAGGCGCTTGGGTTTTTGTTGCCGAATTGCAACAGGCTTGCTGAAAATCTGTCACTAATGGGTGAAATGTCCAAAACTGTCCTTCTAACGCTGGTGTGCTCTACTGTCAATGTGATATCATTTCTGAACTTTTAAAATCCTAATTAATATTCCTGTAGCTGGTATTTTATTGTAATCTGAATATAGCTTATGCTTTGTTGGTCTGTGTTAGTCATGATCAGCTGGCTATGGTCTGTATTTTCTTTTTAATACCTACAGTTTTCAGGAAGAGCTCCAAAGGAGGAGAGAGCAGAGGTCTTGACAGTGTTCTGGGGGCTGAGTCAGGCACCCAGAATAAGATGACGGTGAATACCAAGACTGGGAACACAGATGAGATTTTCATTGAGGTTAAACCACGGCTGGATTTGGTACAGTTATGAAATGATGTGTAAAAATACAAATATGTAGGTAAGAAGTGGAGAAGACTTGGGCTTAGGTTTTATGCCAGAAAATCCATCCTGCCTCACCACAATATCCTGACAGCAGCCAACTGTGGTATCATGCCTGACATGAAAATGATTGGTTGGCTCTACTTGGAATTTTTCACATGCTGGGGGCAAAGTGACATTCCAATTTCTGTGATTAAGAAACTGCAGAAGACCTATTATAAAACTTTAGAGTTACTGTCAGCTGCACCTTTATCACCCTGGGAAATCTTAGTGTGCAAGAGTGTGCTGTCACTCAATTATTGCTGATACTTTGGCTTTTGCTCAGTTTAGCTGATTCAAGCTCTACCATTGTAGATCCTGCACCTAAAGGTCACAGCAGGCTGGCATTGCCTTCAGCTTGTTTGGTGTCCAACTGCAATTGCCAGAGCCACTCCACAGATAATGGGACAGAAATGCTACATCAGACATTGCCAGCCTGGTGTCTGCCTGAGATGTGCCTTGATGAGTCTCCCGTCGCTGGCTGTAGCTAAGCTGATGGAAGCCCCCTGGAAGCCATGTTGCTATATTTTGCAAAACCATATCAACAGGTTGTTGGTGAATGAGGACAAACCCTTAGCACTGGGATGTGTGTGATTTTCACAGCTGTGTGGTTGTTGCATGGGTCTATTAAAGATGAGATTATGATGTGATATTAAAAGTGCAGGAGGTGAGTAACCTTCTTCAGGGGTCGGAGTTGAATTTACAGCATTCTTCCTTTCTGCCACCTGTCTGTCATAAAACTTGCAGTTTTGAGTAAAACATAAAGCAATAAAAATATTGTGTATGTCTTGCACAGTCTTACACTTCTTATTCGGGAGTTTCAGGACAGTGAGCATCTTCAAACTAAAACTCTGCGAGCTGGATTAAAAAACAAAACAAGGCTGTTGCCTTGTGGATCTCAGGAATAAGCTACAAACTTATGCTTTCTTGAAGCTATGAGTATATAAGTAAATGTAGGAGTTTGGGTATGAAGCAGATCTTCTTTTCATCCAATATTACTGAAGAGTGTTGAGAACTGATTCTGTAATACCACGTAACTGAATGTTGGGAAATTTCTGAATTTCCTGAATTTGGCATTAAAACTAACCAAGCCACTTCAGTTAGTCATGAAGCTACAGTAGATTTGAGGTGTAGCAAGATCAGTATGTGTAATGTTGTCCTATGGAGGTGATCCAGCATGGGTTAGTTTTTAATATTCTATTATTACTTTCGGAAATAGTATTTAGGCAGTCAAGTTCGGAGAGAAATTTTGCTGAGTAGCAACACACTTTAATTCTTAGTTATTAATATCAAACTGTACACGTGTTAAAATAGATTGGAATTGAAAGGTTAAGTGTTATCCTGCAGATTTGATAAACTCAGCTGTTGTTGTTGTCACAAGTCTTTAAATGACTTTATTGACAGTTTCTCTTTTTTTCCCTCTTTCAGTGCTTGCCATTGCGTGCTAAGAGTTCTCTTGGCTCTGCCTGGCAGGAAAAAGGGGAAACTAGAAAACCCCATTAGCTGTCCATTTGCAGAATATCCAGGCTTTACTCTCAATTCACAGAGAAATACAACGGTAGGAAGTTGTTTCACATCCGAGCCAAGATAAGGTCCTGCAGGTTTATTATTTTTGTTGCCTGATAACATCAGGACTGGGGAGCAGGGGGCAGAGAAGGAACAGCAGATCAACATCCCATGGGGACAACAGAAGGGAAGACAGACAGATAGCCAAGTGCCGACAGCTTCAGTCAGTACTCCCAGAGGAAGTGTTGGTTTCACCAGATGAAATTAATACACAGAAGTCTTTACAGAGGCATTCAAATGTGACATTGTTTGGGGGGCTTGGCTATGTGACAGATGTATAAAGCAGTGAATCATATGTTTACATATAATTAAGTCTGTATTGACAAGCCAGGTTTTCCTTTTGTTTAATAATTTCCTACATTAACATCAAAGAGCTTGTTTTTATAATGAAAACACATTTCCCTTTTTGTTTTGCTTTGCTATAGCTCTATATTAACTTCAAACGCAAAATCGTGACTCACAGGGAGAGAGATGTATGTCGATATGTCCACATCCATTTACAGCCTCTAAAAATGTATGCCATGTTATAAAGCTTCCTTCATTTGGATGCAATCAAGTGATCTCTTCTGTACAGTATAGTGTCCCTAACAACTTCTGAGTTGAGTACCTGATAATTTCACTATGCTTATTAACCTTGAAATATGTTTGAGAAACCGGTTAGGTTTTAAGATTCCATTTCTGGATCAGGAATTGCTTTGCTTGATACTCTGTACACCACTCAGTAGAGCTTGCATTAAGGCAGTGGTAGTAACTTAAGGCAGAAAATTCTACAAAAATGTTTTTGAAGATGTATTGGTTGAAAAATATGAGGGCTGCTCCAAAAGTAATGCCTCCTGTTTCATTATGCTGGCCATGACATCAGAGGCGGCTGCTGGTGGCATGGCAGCAGAGGTTGAAGCTTCCCACCAACATCCCGCTATGTTTGGTTGCTGTGTGACAGATGGCAGCAGGGCGGCACTCTGACAGAATGGCATCTGACATGGGAGTGTGTGTGGAGCACAGGTGAGTCACTGGGTGCTCCATGCACAACAAACGCCTGCACCTCCACCGATGCAGATGTTCACGAGTGCTGCGTGCAGCTCTTGTTCACTGCTAGTGAAAATGCACAGCTAATGGTGGTGATTGTGTTGAAAAATAGTGTTTGGTGGCTGCAATTTTTTGCTATTGAATTTTGCTCTTTGTATCTGTTGTAGTTTACATGGAAATAATTAGAAGGCTTTACTCTTGGAATGGCCTACAGAAAAAATAGAGAAGAATCATATGGAAGAGATATAATTTAAAATCTTTGGAAGGGGACACTAATAACATATAGGCTCAGTATAATTTGCCTCATTTGCTTTTAAATCCATTAAAACAGTAGTTTTAAATTCTAAAAGGTAGTTTTACAGAGTTTGAGCCAAATATTAAATGGCTCAACACAAGGAGGTTGAGAGCAGAGTTGATAAACTTTATCATCCAGGCTGAGGGAACTAAAAAAGTTTTAAAGTATTTTTAGAAGAGGAATGTTTGGTAGGAATGAATCCACAAGGCTGCTTGTTAGCATTCAGAGCCATTCAGTTACTGTTCGTTGGAAGTTGTCGGTGTAGAAGTTGCATCATTATGTGTATATGTTCATTCTACATTAGTAAGATACATTTAGGGTGCACAATAAATTTTAAACCATTTGACTTCAGCTTTTTTAGCAATGGATGATGTCCTGCGTAGTTTTATGGCTTTTCAGAATTAGGTGTGTTTTGTCTTCTTTCTGCTTCGACTATCAAACTGAATGAAGATCTTGAAATTCTGGAGTGAAGAACGCTGACTTTTTAGATTAATGCTACTAAAGTTTTCCAACAGCTTTTACTTAAATATTTATTTTTTTCTTTAGGCCGGGTCCCTGACATTGGAACTCTCAATTTGGAGACTGTTGGAGTGAAAACTAATTCTGAAACTGGAAAGATCATTGTTGATGCCAGTGAAGCTACTTCTGTTCCTCACATTTATGCAATCGGAGACATAACAGAGGTACTGAGTCTACATAAACTGTGTTACAATAACAGGAAGCCAGCTTTGTTCCTGACTAATAGCTTGTCCCCAGATGTCGTCATGCTCTAGCATATATCTCAGTGTTTTGCTCTTTTTCATTTTGTGCAGCTGTAGTGTTCATGCTTGGCACCTGGTTGAGTAATTTCCTTTGCATGGATCTTGTGAAGTGCCTCAGCATTAGTGATTATTACTGATGTTTATCAGGGAAGGTATCACTGGTCAGAGGCTAATAATAATGTCTTGATCACTTTAATTATCTTTCTAATGTTTGCATCACTTCAGATGTACGACTTCATGCTCCCTGTGAATGCTGAGTGAAAGTATTTCTTTCCTTCTGGAGCTGAATACACTTTCAGGGAACGACCACAACAGTTCCGTTGATGTTCATCCTATGGTAGCATTTCTGCATTCTGACATAAAATGCTGCTAACAAAAATATATACCTCTGAAACAAGGAAAGAAAAGATAAACAGCATTTCTCCAAATACTGAAGGCATTTGGCTTCTGTTAAATGATTCACATGATTTGTGAATGTTTTGGTCAAGTAAATATGAGTATTTTTGTTACTTTTTTTTTTTTTTTAAAAGGAGACTTCAGCAAAACAATTTCTTGCCTTTATAGGCACAAAACCAGAATTTTGTGGCTTTAATCTACTGCTGTTGTTAATCTACAGTTAACTGTGATGAGAATGTCCTTCCTAATCAAAGTGCACTCAAATGCTTTTAATCCCTCTGTTTTTATTTCACAGAAGAACTCAGAATATTTCCTCTAATCTGGGCATCTTCAAATATGTTATCTTCATGAAACATAACATGTGGGTTCATTCTGAACTGTACAGTTACAGGAGGATGTTTTCATTGGGTGCTTGCCATTCCTGAAGAACTTAAGCAGTAATGTAGAATATAAAAAGAGGGCATTGCAAGATACAGAATTTCTTTCTTGTCATTGAACTTAATGGAATCTAGCACATCCCTTTCTATCAAGGTCGTTTTTGATAGATGAAGACTCTTCATCTTTATGAACGTCTGAAATCTAAATACCATAGTGATATGCAAACACCATATATAGTATAATTTGAGATATCTTTTAAGCATTTCTCATTCTGCCATATGTAAGCCCTGCAGGTGCTTCTGAGTTTTTGAAGGGATGAAGCAGGTCTTGGAATAGCATGCTTATCCATGACTGGACACCATCTACAGTCAGAGGCCCTGAAATAAATCTGTTGGTCATTCCTGACCTCTTTTTCTGCATGCAGGCATGTGTTTCTTCCTGTCCATCTCCATCTTCATGCAAATGTCTCACCTTTTCCTTTTAAATTGTGTGAAAACTCTATCCTGCTCAACTCTTTCTCTTTTTTTTTCCCCCATTACTCTCCACAACTTCAATCACTCGGAGACTTGGAATTATGGACAGCTCTTTTTTCCTCTTCAAACAGAGGTTCCCCTCTGTGCAGGTTACTTCACTCTCTGGGATGTTTTCTGAAGTCCTGTTTCTACTCACAGTCACCACCAATCTCTTTGTGTCCTTGATACGTATCTTGATTAGGCCTCCTGCTTTCTAAACTATTCTTTCTAATTTTGTCCAAGAAGCAGTTGTTAGAAGCAGTGCTGGCAAGGCCCTAGATTCTGTTGCTCATTTTTGCAGCCAGTCTGACATGTTATTTTAGGCAAGTCATTTCCTTTTGGGTGCTTTTTGTCTTCTTCCCTATGAGGATTTAGTTAAACAAGAAATAGAAAGTTGGAGGCAGGATGCTCTCGTCTTCCCTACTGTGGATCTATAAAACCAGGTCTTCATTTATTTGTCCTTTTAATTTTGTTGTTAAAACTTGGATTTCCTTTTCCTGTTTTTGTCCTTATTAGTGCAGATTTTTGAATGGGAGTTGTGTAGTGCACTTCTGAATGCATTAAGAACAGCAACAGTTTTGTACTTTGTACAGTGTACAGATGGGAAGCACTGGGCAATTAAATCAGTTTGCTGTAGTGTCTTAAGCTTGTATCTAAGTATGGACTAAATATAGGAAATTAAAGAAATTAAAATAAAGAAATTGTAGGAAATTAAAGAAATCATACATTTATAGAGTTCAGAGATAGGAGTTCCTATCTGATGCCATTACGAAGTGAGCCGTGTAATTTCACTCAATGAGCAATGCTCTTCTTTTGTTTACACAATACACAAATACTCTTTGTTTTTTTTTCCCTTTTTCCTTTCTTTTTTAAGGAAAATGAATTTAGATCATAGATGTAATTGGCATGGGAATCATCAGAGGAGCAAAGTTCCCAGGTTTGGCGTTGGTGCGCAGCTTGGCAGGACGCACTTGGTTCTCTTTAAGCAGCAGAAAGCTGCAGAGCTTGGGGTGTGATACTATCTGGGTGAGACCTTTCAAGGGGCAGGACGGGGAAGCTTCTACCAAGGGAATGAATATCAATGACCCCTAATATTGTCTGTAAAAATAGGATTTTGTCTCTGGTGTCCCTGGTCAGGATTTTTTTCGTTGTTTTTCTCTCTAGCTGTCAGATTGTCTTTGTACCATGACGTGTTATTGCTTATGCTTTTGTGAGTAGCTCTCGGCCCCTCCTCTCTCGCCCTTTACTAGGCCACACTGAATAGATACTAACTTGCTACCACATAGTAAGATCTGTTTTTTAAATTCAGTTCACTGATTGGAAGGGGGGGTGAGATGGAAAACGGGAGCTTCCTGATATGTTCAGACTGAGTGTTTCCATTTGGGAGTCATACCCACCTGGCATAAAAGGGAAACTCAGTGTGCATGGGTGTCCTATGGCACCCTTGTATGAAAAACAGAATCCTAATGTTATGCAAACTGTTCATTTGGAAAAAGGGAGGAAAAGAGAACTCCAGAGGTCACTCAATTTGTCTATCATTTAAAAAAAAGTTTTTCAGGCTCCAGCAAAATGAGGTTTTCAACTGATGAGTAAAACTGCACTTAGGTATTTTTATTGTCGGTAAAATAAAATCAGGATGAAGATTACCAGGCTGGAATTTTAATTTCAATTTTCTGTGCTGATATAAGCCCTGTCTGTTAATATCCATCCTCCAGTGGTATTCTTGTTGAAAAGCATGACACACAGTAAAAGAAATTCTCTTCGTAGGAGATTTATTGTATATACACTCCAGTATACATCTGGTGTATTTCTAAGGGTGTTAAAACAAAGATATGTAGAGAAGATCTGCAGTATGTTGCTTTGAATAGAAATTAGACTGAAAGAAAGAGCCGTGTTAGAACAAATGCACAGTACTTCAAAGCTTACTGAACTCTCCTAGGAGCCATCTCGTTTAAATGTCTAATGCACTGGAGGATTCTTATGAACAATCTGTATCCATAATAATCATCAGGGTAGTTGTACACATGACTGCAAAGTGAATGTTCGTTTCAAATATTTACCAGGGAAGGTCTTTAAGCTATTGTTTATGAGAAATAGGGCTTTATCTGCGTGGATGTTTTAGTAATTAGTTGGGTTTTATGGAATGCATAGCAGCGCTTTCACAATTTTATCTTTAGTTCCAATCTTCTATTCTTTTCTGGAATGCCAAAACAACATCTGTATTTCCTGCTACAGAAATGACTGGCAGCCATGTTTCAGGCAAATGTGTGTAAGAAAAAACAAATGGCAAATTTCATCTGGTAAATGACATTTACAGCCTTGAAAGTCCAAATGCTGGTGTTGAAAAAACACGGTGGATCTTAGGGGGGAAAAAGGGATATACTTTCAGTTTTGTGATTTGTCATGGGCTATGGGAAAAAATGGTTTGTCTTTGTAAATGAAACAGTAGTATCTGTTAACAGGTTAGACAAAGTGCTGCTTCAGTTTATTTTTTGCAATGGAAGTTTAACAAAGAGGATATTAGTATAGAGAAAAGCATAAACTCATAGTGATGTGCAGAAAACTGCTGTGGTGCATGTAACGGTAAATGGAGCTAACGGTATGTGCAGGACCTGTGTAGCAACATGCAGGAAAGAAGCTATGGAAGAGGATGGATTTCAGTAAATGTTCAAAAAATGTTAGGATAATGAAGAGACATTTGAAAAACTCCAGTGTGTGTAGTGGGAAATCCTTATTTTCTTCTGAAGACTGTTTTCAAGAGCTTGCAGAATGACTACCACCCCAAATGGGGCTTTGCAGGAATAGAACAAGAGTTGGGTCTACACAGAACCTGTCTGGAGCAAAATCTCAGTTTCTGTAAAGCATTCTGCACTGTGCCACGAAACCATAGTTTATCAGTCATGGCATTCTTGTTTCCACATCTTTCCCTCGAGATTTCTGACTTCTTGCCTAATCTCAGACAGGCATCCTGCTGATACACTTTTGGATGCTCTTAAGTAAGCTATTTTTTTTACTAGATGTATGAAGTTTTTTAGACATTATTAACATTATTAATAGCAAAGTTTGCACCTACTGATTCTGTGTTCTGTAAAAATGTGTCAGACAACTGACAAAAAAGTTGGATGTGTTTGAAAATAGTATTTCTTTATACTATTTTTTTCTGCTCTAAAAATGCCGTTCAGAAAACTTACTGATGACTTACTATGGAAAGAAAGGGTGTAACGGATGGTTCATGAGTGAATATCCTCTGCTTTTCAGGGGATGACATAAGATGTGAGTGTTTTTTTGGGTGCATTGACTGCATTTGTTCCCTGTCAAGACAGATACTAAGCTCAGCGTCTTAGAAGCGTGTTTGGACAGCAATTATTACTGCCTTGTCCGTTTGGAGCGCTAGCTGCTGGACTGGAATTCCAAGGATTTGGCATTTCTTTGCCCACTGTCCCAGGAGAAGTCCTTGGATGCCACTTCTCTCTTAGTTAAAACAAAGCTTTGTGCTCTTTTCCTCAGGGCCGTCCTGAACTGACACCCACAGCAATAGCTGCAGGGAAGCTGCTGGCCCGGCGTCTTTTTGGCCACTCTTCAGAACTGATGGACTATGACAGTGTGAGTTGTCGTTTCTTCTTTCAGTAATAAAGCCAAATATTTCTCTATTAAAAAGAAAAGAATGTTTAAATAAATGGTGTTTTTCCATTTGGAGTCCAGTTTCCAGTATCCAAAGCAGTTATGTGTGGCAGAGCTATCCTCCCCTGAAGTCACATCTACCCTGCAGCTGCTTCATGTGGTTCACAGTAACACTTTGTTTCCTCGCAAGCAGGTACCTACTACAGTTTTCACTCCCTTGGAATATGGTTGTGTTGGACTGTCAGAAGAAAAGGCTGTGCAGTGTTATGGGTCAGATAATATTGAGGTATGAAAACATTTTTACTTATAGTTGGTATCAGAGTTGCACTTTGCAAAGGTGAAAGTTTGACTGTGGTATTGGACTGACATTTTTGGTCCCCAAAATACTGTATTTGCAGCTAGGAAAGAGTTCTTCAAAAGAGTTCAGACTTCAAAACTATTGCAGCATGTCACGATGGAAACTATTACCTCGTGGGCTTAACATTATTAATAGTCTGACAGCTTCAAACTAGCTGCCATTTTAATAAATTATATTGCAGAACAATATATATTACATACAGTTGTATTCCCTTTAATTGTCAGAATTACTGTCAGGTTCTTTAATCTAGATTTTTTGGGATGTCCATGGAAATATTCACACAAATTATTCAGTGTTTTCTTTGTGGCTGAAATAACTTGATCTGATGTGCCTGGGCACTGCCTGTTGAAGAAGAAATCTGTTATAGCATATATTGATATCCTTCTGATAGGAGGGATGACATTAAGGTACTTACGATGAAGAAATTCACAATCATTATATAATCAGAGAAAATTCAAACAAATCACCCTCCAAAAAGTTACCTTTATTCACTCATCAAAAAGGCTGTCAGTGTAAGACTCAAACTATGGAAATAAAAAGTGCAATACTCTGTTCACTCAGTTATCTGTTCTGAGTTTTTATGATTCTGAAATATAGCTTATACTTCAACAACTGTTCTAGAATTGTTATCTGAATTTCTGGATATTGGTGCCTTTTAGAAGTAAAGAAATTAGTGTAAAAGAAAATTGCCTGTTTAAGCAGGCATGTGAGGCATAGGATGTTGATGTTGTATACATATTGGAGAGGAAGTTCAGCTGATAGATTTGCTTGGATTCCCAGCAAAATCATGAAAGAAAATAAAATTTTTCTATTCAAACTGCTAGAATTAGTTTAAGTTGTCTTCTGGTATACATAGAAACAAACATGGAAAGCTTCTTGGATTTCATTATTCAGAACAAACAAGTTACAACTTAAACTATTGGGAGAAACGTGAAGAAGCAAAACAAATGTCATTTTGAATTCATGGCATCAATTTGGGTAACGTTCTGTGGGGGTTTTTCAGGATTTTTTTCTCCTTCAAGAACCATTAGATTAAAGTTTTGAGTTAAACCGTGCTCTCCCTATTTTTGTTTGTAGTAATGAACATGGTGAATGTTTTTTTTCATATCTTTATGTATGTGTAGTAATATTAAGGATTATTACAGACAAGAGCATTTTTACTGTAGTGGCACATTCTAACACAAATGTTGTTTTTTCCACACCAGGTATTCCATGCTTATTATAAACCTCTGGAGTTCACAGTGGCTGAAAGAGATGCAGCTCAGTGTTATATGAAAGTGAGTGTTGTGAGCTTTTAACTTGCTTTTAACTTAACACAAGATTCATGATACAACCAACTTTAAGAGGGTGTATTTAGTGGGGAGAAGAAAACCCTGAGATGGTTGAGATCTTTTCTTGGTGACAGCCTGTTTCTCTAGAGTGTCTTTAAAACATCTAATATTCATTATATACCCCATTGCATCTTGGAAGTGTTTTGCAGATAATAGCTTTCTTAGAGGTGGCATTCCACTGATGGGTGCCATCTACACGCTTCTGGGAAGGTGCAAGGAGACATTCAAGATTCCACAGAGGTCCATCTCTGCTGCCCTCAGCAAAGTTCTTAACTAGTTATTATTCTGTACTATACTATGTATTATTAGTTGATATTTGAGTATTCTCTTGGGAAAGTACACTGCTGCCAAAAAAAAAAAAGAATGAAAAGGCTTACAAAACTGTTCTTTGCTTTGTTTTTCATGACTAAAACAGAAGTTTTCTGTAAGTTCTCTAATAGAACTGAAGTGTGCATTCACTCAGGCCCTCTCATATTCTTAGTTACTTTTTATTGTTGATTACTTTCAAGACTCCTACTTAGGTTATAGGGCTTATTTGGTAAATGGATCTCACCAACAGGGTTCTGTAAGTGTAAGGAATTACAGAGTCACAAAATATTCTATAATTGGCAGTAGTCTTTGGAAATAGTGCTGATTAGGTGCCAAGAGTACCTGCAAAACCTTGGAGAATCGCTAAGGTGTCACTTCAGTGTCAAAATGTGTCTAGCAATCAGACTAATGAAGGTCGCTTTAAGATGTAATGCAAATAAGAAACAGTTCAGTATTTAACAAATTGTGGTCAGTGGCTCCCTGACGTCTGAAAGAAATGCAGTAATAAAGCTTTGATTCAGGAAAGTGCTCAAGGAGAAGCGTGAGGTCTATTGAAGTCAGTCAGATTTAAGCAAGTTCTTGGCACAGTGGGATTGGACGGCTGAAGTCGGATCTTGGGGCACTGCAGTTTCATTTAATTCAGCTTCATGCCTTATCTTTAGATGTTCTCAGAAAAGATTGCTATGTAATGTATTGTTTTCAGATGGTGTGCTTACGAGAGGGAGAGCAACGAATCCTCGGCCTTCATTTCATTGGACCAAATGCTGGGGAAGTTATTCAAGGATTTGCTCTTGGAATCAAGTAAGTACAAAAGAATGTCTCTAGCTTCTAAAGCCTGCTTTTAAAGTTATTGTAAGATTATAAAAGATAGCTGCCTATTTTTGGCAACACTATAAAGAATCCATGCTTTTTGTTGCTTTTTGTTACTTTTATGTAGTATTGCACATATTTTTACTAAAAATACTGCAGTTTTTCATTAAGATATACTGGATTTAGTTATTGTAATACTGGATATAGTTAAGAAACAACAGAGGAAAATATACTGTTGCCTTGATATCATTAAAACAAAAAAAAAAATTTCGTTACCACTCTTAGTTTTCTCAGAGTGAAGCTGCCTTTGCATTCTGTGTGCAGGATAGGAAATCACTATATTGTTCTGCAAGTCCTTTTAGAAGGGGCTTTGTGCTTTCCACAGAAAACCTGCTAATCATTTCCTTTTCTAATCTGGTGTTTAAATGGGCACAGCCATTGCTCCTTAAAAGCTCAGCAAGGACTTGCATGAATTTTAAGCTTCTAGGTATAAACTAAACACTATGATTAGGTAAGGAAGCGGCATCTGTGGGATGTTGGGAGAAGCAGCTGTCTGATTGTTGCAATAATGAATTTACTCCAGTAGGTAAACCTTTGGTTTCAGTGTTTATTCAGATTTGAATAGTAATGCATTTTCCCTGACTTGTATTTTCTTTGTTGTCCCTTCAAAAGTGTAAGAAATGATTCTAGGTCCTCTCAGATCAAATAGAGTGTTTCTGCTGTCTCACTTGTGTGATAGACTTGCTTGTTTTTCATCTGCTTTTTTTTACTGTTTGCTCACATTGTCAGAAATATTGATTTCTAAATTGTTCCACTACTAAATTACAGTACTTCAAAGACTTAAAAGTAATTTGTATTATTACAAGAAATGTCCTCCCAATTAGGGTATTAACCTGTTGCTCTAGATATCATCACTGTTCTTTTGCAGTTTTAGCTTTACTAGCATAAATTAAATGCAGAATGGTTAAGAAGGCAGGGCCTCAATATCACATGAGGAGTATCTTGGAAATCAGCAGTGATTGCAGTATACCCTCAGTACACATTTCCAACATGTGTTTGTAGTCCATTAATTGCCAGTGGTATAGATTCTAGAACTACATTTTTTAGGACATTGTTGTTTTGAAGTTTTATCCAAAATAACCAGTGAAAAAACAGCATATGAACCTGGAGCGCTTTGCTGCCTTGCCTGAGGAAAATTAAAACTTCAGCCACAGTGAGAGGTTTTCTGCAGGTCAGATCCCTGCATTGTTTTCTATTGTATTTTGTAAATCCAAGGTTTTCAGTGTGCAGTTCCCACTCTAAAACCTGCTGTTCTCCATTTCCAATATCAGATCTTTCGTCAGTCCCTCCACAGTCTGACTTTTTCGTTGTCTCCAACTGCCTCCACTTAGAGCACCAATTGATACCCGTGCTCAGCAGTGGTTTTTGCTTTGGGTGCTTCCCTGGTCATGTAGGCAGGACACCAGGAGCCTTCTGTAGCTCTTTTTGTGTATTTTGAGCAGAGATACAATGCTATTCCATAGAGAATTTGAAACAATTCTTATGTTTAGGCCTATTTCAGCTCTTTTTACAGGGTAACCTGCCAGAAATAGCAGCTCAAAGGAAAGCGGTCAAATCTCGGAGTGCTATTGGACAAAAGATGAAGCTAGTGGGATTTCTAGCTCAACTTTTTTTTTTTTTTTTTTCCTTTCTCTCGAATGATGGAATTTCTTCCCCTGTTTATAGCATTGGTGATTTCAGTGCAAGCAGTAGACTTTCTAAAGATTGTGGAAGAATATGCTGGTATTGCTTCCTTCAGCAGATTCTTGCCTGCAGTCCTAATTAAGATTATCTTCCTCTGTGTGTGTGCATGTGTTTCCATCTGGAGTTGCTGAAATACATGTTTCATGTGTTTCACAAACACATGAAAAAGTTGAAGGCTGCAGTTTTTTCCTGTTTTTTTTGTTTGTTTTTGTTTTTGTTTTTCCCTGTAGCCTCAGTTGTGACTTGTGGTAAATGGCTTGATTCCCTCTGTCTCAGCTCTTATGACAATTCTTCTGTGCCTAGCAGTGTAACTAAGCTGGGTTTGAATTCTGCTGTGGAAGTGCCTGAGAAATAACAGACAGTACTGAAGAATGAATGCAGCTTCCTCCACCTGATAAAATGGATAAGTGCAGGATTAGTTGGATGTTTTAGGAAATTCTATCTGCTTCGAGTGAGTAATGTCTGACTTCCTGGGTCTTTCCTTTTTTCTCTCTTGGTAGGTGTGGTGCTACGTACCCTCAGCTAATGAAGACGATTGGCATTCACCCTACCTGCGCTGAGGAAATTACCAAGCTGCATATTACAAAACGTTCCGGCCTGGATGCAACAGTAACAGGTTGCTGAGGTTAAATGCCATCCCTGGAAAGGAGGAAAAAAAGCACAAAACATGTCTGAAAAGGAAAGGGGCAATTGGAGTTGAAATAGCTTTGATAGTTAGAGTTCCAGGAGCCTTTCTCGTTCCCTCTGTACTTCTGCAATTCACGCTGTAACAAATCCCTCTCTGTGAAAGTGCAAACAGCTCCTTTTCTTCCTGGGAGCTTTATGTGCAAAAATATATAAAAAGTCACCAACATCTTAGGCCCTCTTAAACTTAAATAGTTGCCATTTGAGTTTCTGTGTTGGCATTGTTGGCTGTCATCAGAAGTGCCTTGCACTGTTTTCATACAGATAGCAGGCATCAGGCAGAGCTTTCCTTAGAATTTTGGTGTGGTGCTTTCTGTTAAGTGCTTGGATGGTTCATTCCCAGCCCTAATACTGAACATTCAGACTTTGTGCTTGTAGAGGCATAGAGATCATATAAGGCATATATAAGGCATATAAGATCCCTAATAGCTACGCAGTCACCCCTTTTTTTCCTTTTTTTTTTTTTTGTATAATATGTAATTACCTGCAATTTTATTTTATTTTATTTTATTTTTAGTATTGACCAAAGTAGTGATTAACCTATTGAAAGTTTGTACTGGTTTTCCTTCTGTCCACAAGGGGGAGATGCTGGCTAATTTGTGGCAGTGAAGAATCGTTAGAAATCTGATGTTTAAACTTCTTTTGCAGAATAAGTTAAATATGTGTAAGTAGCCTGACAAAGGCACAATAGAAAGCACACAGAATTTCAAGCCAAGTTGCAGTTGCCAACGTTTTGATGTGCATGGTCACTTAATTTCTTGCAGCCTTGACAGTAGAATTGTATTTGTAGAAAAGGGAGAGATCAACTTCAGGTAAAACAAAATGTATCCTTTTTGCAATTAATCTGTGTGTTTTTGCATGTGTAATTTGATATTTGCATAGCTGTCCTATGTTCTCTTGTTACACGTTTTAGAAGAGTAGTCTGATGATCCTCTATATCTTTTGTTATTGGTTTTTTTTTCTGACTTTTGCTACTGCAGCCTGCAACATGGACAAAGATAGGTTTATTTCTAATATGAAGTGTTTCCTTATCATGAGAATTGTACCTGTCAGAGAAACTATTAGGCAAAAATTGATCAGATTTGGTAAAGTATTCAGTATTGATTACACTGTTGTTTACACTTGAATACTCTGGTTTTCAGAATTTGTTCTGGCTTTAAAAACAGCAAAAGAAATACCAAATCCTTTCTCTTCAAAGTTTACTGACGTTTCTGATCCATGAAATAAGAGGTGATGCAGTTTCACTGAAGGCATTATTCCCTTTCAGATCTGCTGATGTAATTCTTCATCTGCAAAACCATGATAACCTTGTATAGAAATACTTTGAGTGGTAATGCAGTCAGAAAACTGCCTGAATATTGCAACCTCCTTTATAGGAGATGGTATCAAAATTGTGCATCTGCACGTGAATGCATGTATACCTGCACCTTCAGAAATTTCTACTTCCTTTCATAGAGGCCCAGTGGAAATGATACAGCCAAAAACCTAATCGTTTTTCCCAGCTGTGAAAGTATTTGCAGTATTTGCAGTAAATTAGCTTTTTTAAAAATATTTTTACTTAATGTTTCAAAACACTGCGATGCAGAGCAGATCTCTGTCTGCAGAGATTTTGCTGAGAAACATCCTGCCTCTGACTGAACCATAATGTGACGTGCAACATCTTTTTTCCAGTAATTACTTATTGCAGTTCATTTTGCTCCCGTGAGTGAAAACGTCAGAGTTCACTCGTATGAAAGGGCTTCTCTCCTCTTTCATAGTAATGCATCCAGCAGACTGAATTGTCTGTTTCTCCAGAGTGATCAATGGAAAGTTTAGTTAATTTCATTCATTGTAAGGTTGAAAATTATTTGGGACAGCCAGTGAAGAGATCTCAAGGAAACGTGTTCTGAATATATTCAGTGTTTGAAACTGAGGCCTGTGAGCATCCTTCAAATAATAGAAGTCTTTTGGTTTTACAGTTGTTATGTGGAAAATGGATCCTGTATTGTGTACTGCTGCCTATTTCTACTCCACATTTAATGGAAAGCATTGCCACCTGAAGTAGAACTAAATGTTTATTCACACCTACATAAACCTGATGTCAGATGGAATAAGGAAAGTAGTGTGATTTGTGCTTTTTTTCCTGAAAGATTCTTTATGTAACTTTCTGGGATGGTCCTTAAGCACTGTTTTTCAAAGCCTGACCGATGTCAGTTGAGATGGGCTGATCTGTGCCACAAACCACTGATTGTGTGTGAAAGTCAAAAATAATTCTGGGTTTTTTTTTCAGGATTCCAGCTGATGATGGCTTGTTTGTCAAACCACACCATGGCGCAGACAAGTCTGAGCCTTGCTGGGTCCCTCATGTATTATCTGATATTTATTGTGTTGTGAATTAACAAATTAATAAAGAATGTATTTTTTTGTAAATGTTTTTTTGTTGTTAATTTTGCATGTAGCTCCATACATATATGCTTTATATTTAGGTATTGTTTACTCTTAATGTTAGAAGTACATGTGAAGGAAGCTGGACTCAGAGCGATTAATAAGGAAATGTTGGCCCCTGCCTCCCTCTGATGCAGAAACTGAATGGCCATTATTCCAGGCTGGGAGACCTTCAAAACTATTTAAATTTGAATTCAAAACAACTCTAGATGAAGTACGTATGATTTCAAATATGCTCTGCTGTTAATTGCTGCTAATGGTACCAGGTATGTTTGCAGTCTGTGTGCTGAGGTGCTGCTGAGGACTCAGCCAGATGTAACTCGGAAACTTACTGAAATACAGTGCAGAGTATTATGCAGGGGTAACCTGTATTTTAGCCATTTGGGTTTTAGACTAGGAAACGTAGAGGAAAAATACGTTACAGCAAAGCCATTTAGTAGCTGTGAACATGGTTGATAGATAAAAAATATTTTAAAATTAATTAAGAAATGCTAGCAACACGTGTTTAAAAACTGTGAGAAATTTCTATCAGGAAAGAAGGGAACTACTTTGATTGAGTTAATCCCAATTTTATTTCTTTATGTTCATTTCTTTTGATGAGAAGTTCCCATTAAATTGAGTGATGCTGAGCTGCTGGAACAGGCTGTTCTAACATTACATATCTTTCCTGGGATTGATATTGAAGAAGAAGTATTGAATTAATTGCATTTAAAGTTATTTTTACTCTGTTTCCTGGATTTCTTTCACTGCAGGTTCTAATTAGGATAGCTAGGATTACTGGCTAAAAAGGGAATGAGGTAAGCATTGGTCTTTATTTTTTTCCCCTCTTTATCCTCATACACCTTTTAATCTCACTGCCAACAAGAATAACAGACAAGTGCACAGACAATCTTTGTGAGTTTATAGAAGTGGGAATTGAATATGCTGTGTCACTTACAGCCAGTGATGGCTTGTTCTTAACGGTAAGTTATTGTCTACAATTAAGTTTTGCATTTTCTCCTGTAAACATGCACTGTTTTCTGTGAACACCTCCTGCAAGAGGTTTCTGCGGTTGTTATTATTCCTTCAGACATGCTTTTATCCATAGAAATAGAATATGGTTATTCCATAGAGTAGCCATGCTAGCAAAAAAAGTGTATTTCTGACCAAAACATTTAAACATTGTAAAGTTTGAAGACTCCTTCAGAGGCTCAAGCTTATCCTGTGAAGTCGGCAACTTTGTGCCCAGCTACATTGCTGCTTGTCTGAATCCCAATGCATGTACTCAGTGTGAGCCATTAATTTCAGTGGGTTGCATGCATATGTCTCAAGTGCTTTGTTAAAGTAGAATCAATATAAGCATACGCCAAAATGTCTTTCATTATTACAGTTGGGGAACAGACTGCTATTACGGTTCAAAACATGAAAGATACAATAGACATATATGATTAGGCAATGAAATATGCCTTTAATAAGCATAGTGCAGACAGTTTGTTTTGCAGTAAGTAACCTTATATAAAATTCATTGACTTTTTCATTCTTTCAGATCTATATGCTCCCTTTTAAGAGAGGTTTTTTAGTTTTATGCACAAAGTTTTCCTGATGTTCTTCCAGGAGAAAGGCTGGAGTTGCATGCATTTATTCTAGTGCCAAACCTGAATTTTACTAGGAAAGGAGGAAGCATAAGAGCAGACCTTTTTTGTGCTAGGGAGACGGGGTGGGGTAGAGTGTTTGTTTTCTGGGGCAGCATGAAACAGATTTGGTTTAATTACTCTGTCTATAAAATAGAAAATTCTGTCCACTGCATGTCAAAAAGCTAATTATGTTTCTGTTGTGGCACTCAAAGTCAATACTGTCAGCTCTTCTTAGTTCTAATCCTTTACATTGAATTTTGATGGGTCAGGTGAAATATTCCCTTCAGCACCTTATTGCAATTCTTGTCAATCATCTTGCCATGAAAATATGCATATTGCAAAGACTTTGGCAACGCTGCATCTGATTTCAGTCTTTAATCTCGTATGTGCCTTAAAAAAACACCATGCCAACTGCTGGCGTTCTGTTTGGGATGTGAATAGGATTCTGTTTGCTATGGGGAAACAAAAGAAAACGATCAAATCTTTAAAGAATAAAATGGGACTCCTAGGCTTTCTTAGGCTTAACATTGTACCACTGGAAAGAAAACAGCTAGGATGGTGAGCTGGTGCACAAATTAATCGATGCATCCACATTCATCGTGTGGATGTAAAATGTCTCCTTTCAAGCACTGCTGGAGTGAGGAAGGTTGTCTTATTTTCCCTGCAGATTTTCTTTGCAAGGGGCGCCGTTAAGTAACGTCCATTTCCAAACACGGTTCGTGAGTTAATTGTATGTGCTGCTTTGTTTGCTGTCGTTTCTTACAGACTAGATCTAGCACACCTAAAATTTTCCAGTTCTACAATGGAAAATTAGCATCATCCCTAGGAATCTGGAATAGAAACTAGTAAGGCACATTTCCAGAATCCAATTGCATCAGTCAGATTGGTGTAGTATGAAGAGAAAAGCGAATATTCCCTGGGGCGATTGTGTGAAATGGAGACCAGTCTTGTTTGAACAAGGTGCTTTGCATTGTTAGCTAGGAATAGAGGTACTGGGAGCTGCAGCCTGTCGGAACCAGCATCTCCAACGAGAGGGTGGGGGGAATTTTTTCCAGGCTAAAATCTCAGCATTTTGTGATCGAGTTTATCTGATGTATTAAAGCATTAAGTCAGGGAAACCCTCAGTGCTCTGCAAAAGATGAACTGTAAACATCCTTACTGTTTTTGTCCCTCTTCCCCCATTCTCTTTCAGAGAACATGAAGAACAGGACTGTTGTGGGATATTTTCCTATCCTTCTTCCCCTTAGCATAAAGCAAGGTGGGAATCGGGCTTGTTCTTCCTTGTTTTGGCAGAAAATAGAAGAACAGCAAGATTCTTCTGAAATCTTTCGCAAGGGGACTTCTTTTTCCCAAGGCTGTGTTAGGAGCTTGAGCTGGATAGATGGTAACAAATCTAAAAAGGACAATGGATACCTGCTCAAGCTATGTCTCTTAAAATATTGCATAGCTCTAGAGACGTAAGAAAATACCTAGCTAACATTTTCTAAGATAACAGGGGGAAGAAGACAATAGAAAAAAATACAGCTTTTAGGATTTAAACTTGGAGGGGGGAAAAAAGAAGCAGGAAAATACATAAATGCTTTTCTTTGCAATGTCCCTGTGAGACGAGGCTCAAATTTATTATTAAACTGTGTATGTCTATTGAAACAGAACCCGAACTGAATGCAACCAAACAAGATTTCATTCGCATAGTGTCACAGCAGCAGACTGTCCAGCACTTTTTAGCTTTATGCAGGGGTTTGAGCTATCTTAAATTGCATCATTCCCTGAAGTTTCTAACGCGATTAATGATGCACAGAAGCTTTTATTTAAATGCTTTTGTTAAATGGGGACAAAGATTGAGCTTTGACATTTTTATTAAATCCCGATCATCTTTCTTTCTTTGTCTCAGAGGGTGAAGAGGAAGTGCATTAATTTTCACATGAAGGCAAGTTGTACAAACACAGCTGAAAACATCAGAAAACACAGGCATTTTCCTTAGAGAAATGGAATCGATGAACGTTCTACTGAAAAGACTGCTAAGTAATTGGGAAGATGTTGGTAAGCATAGCAGTGTGGGCAGCAGGGCCCTCATGCTCTGATAGCACTGTTAAATTTGGCTAGCTTAGGTGAATGATTCCAGATTGCAGTAATGTAGAAAGCAGAGATGATTAACCATAGGCAATTTAAAGAACACAGGCTGTTTGGAGTCTTAAGAATTGAGATAATTCTCACATTATCAAAGGATTTATTTAATTTACATCAGACTGGGATCTAATTAAATCATGAGAGATGTTTTGATTTTTGCCTCTTGGTTCTCACTGAATTTCTTTAATAGGAATATTTCAAATGCAGGAAAAATAAGGAGAATTTTCTTGGCAGTTTGCTTGCATTGATTCCTGGTCTTGTTCGTTCTGCATCTGTCTGGGATACCATCAAGTTTTTGGTCGAGATTTTGACCTTGTCCTTAATTAAGAGTTTTAATTGTGTTCCTCTCAATTTTTGTCATGTCTGCTTTTCTGTAGTGACTTCATTCTGTTTTACTTTGTTACGTTCTGTTTAAGTGTTAATGAGCAAATTCCCTTTAGGTGGGGTAGGAGTCCAGGGTATTTATTATTCTTGAAGGAGCATTTCAGGATTTCCTGCGTGCCTTTTCATTCAGCTCTCTTCTACTTTCCAAATCTGGAAATGCCACAGCATCAGAGAAGGCAGTTCTAAATAAGGTTTCTCCTTAGCTATGGCACAATCTCTACTGAAGAATAAGAGATCAGCTATTTGTAAGTGTTTATGTGGGGTTTTTTTGAAGGGCACTGCCTTTCCTTAATGACAAAATACATCAGATTCATGGGTGGTAACAAGTGTGCCTCAGGATTAGTGTGGCAGTGATGGAATGGCGTATCAGATGAAATTTGCTTGTGAAACACAAGGCTGTCTTCACTGTCACTGTGGTTACTCAGAACTTTAAGGTCTTGCTCTTCTTACACAAAGTGGCAAATGGACCATCATAAGATTGTGTTTGGGGCTTGAACATCCTTGTGAGGCCACCTTATTGCCTTGCTTTCTAGTTTTGGAAGTCCTAATATTTCTCAAGTTCATAAGTTGGATGCACGTTTGCTTTAAGCTATCCAGTTGATATGTAGGAACAACAGAAGAGGGTGCTCACTTGGATCTGCATTACTGATTGAAGCACTCTCCCTCACTGTACTGCAGTGAAGTGTAGCCAAGAACAACAAGATAAGAATTAATAAAAGCGACAAGGGAGTTTCTCAGACTGTGCTGGCGCACATTAGCCTGGATGAAGAGAAAAAGAAGCTGATACTTGAGTCTTTTGAGTCATGAAGGGTCTGGTCAGTCCTTGAAGGGGAAGTACATGAATGGCCCAGTTGTCATCGCATTTTATTTTTCCTCCAACTTTGACTAATGGTGCATTTCCTCTGGCCTCCCACAGGCTGTCCATGGCTGACTTGCTTTGTCACTCTTCACATCTAGTCCACTGCCTTTACTGTCCACCCTGTTCCCATGGCAGGGACCCAGTGTCCTCTAAAAAAACGCACAGGCACAAAACATCTGTCATTCTTCCCACTCCTCTTTCAAGCGACCACTTCCCATATTGTGTGGCCTTGCAGGCTGAAAGCAGTCTGCCTCCCCTCTGCGTGCCTGGAGTACATGCTTACTCTCTCTGCTTGATAAGGGAGCTCCAGCATTCTGCCTGTAAAAATAGTAATGGGCATCTCCCTGTTGATAAACAGCTCTGCCTTTATTGTGTTCATGGGGTGATAAGTTGTCTGGATCAACAACCAGTTGTCCATTTTACTTCTTTGCAGCCAAAGTTATTAGGGTCAAATTAGGTGTGAGCTGTGAAATTAATCATTACAAGCACAAGCAACATAGTGTGCTGTGGACAAAGGACAAAAAAATAGATGTGGAAAATATGAAGAACCAAAGCAGTCAGGAAGGGGAGGAAAAGAACAGCTGGCAATGCTGTACAAGGTTGTTTATCTAAGTCTATAGGCTGTGCTGGATTTGTTCTCCTGCACCTGTGGACCATGAAATCACAGAACAAGGTAGTTCTTTAATGTCGTTTGAGAGTCTCAATTAATCCACACGCAGTGTGTCAAATGGAGAGGAATATACCTGCCTTTGATTTGCATAAAAGCACTACTTCTGGTGCGTGGATTAGTTGGTGGTACTCCTTGCACATCTCCAGTGTGGCCTCACATGAGACTTGTAATAATTATTCACTTCAGAAGGATCTGCAGCTATTGCTACTGATGCAGACTGAATCGTGCCCAACCTGCATCTGACAAGTGGGCAACACACATAGTTTAGTTAGATATACATTTGCTTATGAATACTACCCCAAAATAATCAGGTATTTTTCTGAATATTTAATTTTTAAAAGTGAGCTTTTTTTTTTTTTTTTAGGAACTGGGTTTATGAAGATAGGATCTGAATCACTAATCTGAATTACATGGATCCTGTTCTCGTTGGAAATAAAGTCCAACAGATCTAAGTTATTAGGTGAAATTTCTGAGATGAGAATCCAGTCCATCCTTGTGAGGCAGCACTTGACAATTTGCATATATACACCTAGGAACTGTCTCATGAATTATGTTTTTTTCCTTAGCAATTGCCCCTCCCTGTAGAGCAGAAATCGTGGCACTGACTGGCAGCATTATGTGAAAGCGTGTTACATTTCTATCTTGAATTCTACCAAGCTCTACAAAGCCTGATACAGTAGGGAAAATAGCATTCAGAGCAGTGATTGTCTTCATCTTTGCCCTAGTACTGTCACTGTTCAACAGCTTTTTCAAAGAGCATTTTTTCAGATGAGTCTGTACTGAATTCTTGCATCTCGACCCCATGTAGTTGTGTGCAGGATCAGTCCCAAAGGTTTCAGCCCAGGTGTAAAGCATCTATAGGAGCTTCTCTGCATTAACAAGCAGAGTCACGCTGCAGCTGGCTCAGGTGGCAGCGGTGTTGTCTGACCCAGGTCACACATCAGAGCAGAGGCTGTGCTAAGAGTAGTTCCAGTGTGTTCTCTTCAGCTTTTGGAGACCAGTGAGATTCCACCTAGTTTGCTCAGATGCAACAAAGAGCAGAGTTTGGACTCACTGTGCAGCTTCTGAGCTGGGTTGTTGCCAGGGCTGCACACACAGCAGTATTTAAGCAAGTCGTTTAGAAGCAAGCAGTGCAGGTAAACCTTCAGGTTATGTTTATAAACAGCGCTACTGGCATGATCTTTCTAATCTTAATTTCTATCTGTTTTTCCAGATCCATTAACCAAGCTTGGGAGGAGGAGTATGCAGTTCAAAGGTCAAATGTATGAAAGCAAAGCCTGCTTAATATACCAAGAGCTCTTTGTAAATTTGATTCTAACTTGAGAAGTTAGAGAGCTGTGAAGGGCCCTTCCAAACACTTCCATTTTGTTTTCTGAGGTGAGAAGCCTGAACTTTGTACCCAGAATATAAGCTGAAGGTGTGCTGGATTTGCTTGGAAATGCTGCAAAGCTATTCTCATTTCCTGTAACTGTTGTAAGATTGGCCTTTTTCCATAGCTAAACCTTGGTTCTTAGCTAGCCAGAATAAATGGCAAAAGGAATTCCCTCTCTTTCATCTTATATTATATCTAGCAAGGCAAGAATCAAGACTTTGAACCATTAATTCCTAAGTCTGTGGCTTGATTTCCTGCAGCAGAATCTGTTTTAAAAGTTTTGTCTTCTCTTACCAAAGCTAATTGTTAATTGCATCTTCTTTCCTTTGGCTACTGCCACAAGACTGCCTTCTGTGCTGATGACAGATCTGCCCTTCTGTTATCAGACACTGCTCTTCTGCTATCTCAATTTCATAACAATTACCTCTGCCTGAGCGCTAGTGGATCAGCCACGTTGGGCAAAGCAATGCTCTGAGAAAGAGAATGATGGATGACAGAGCGATTCCCTTCAACATGAATGGGGCACTGAGGTTGTGTCAATTTTTTCTCACTCCTTACACCTCCTCCCTTTCCCTGCTCTGCATTCTTAACATGAATCACAATATTTCTGCATGAACAGCGTGCACAGATGTAACTTTAAAAAATGTATGGCACTGCTGTACGCCACTTTTGTTGAAACTGTCAGGAAAATAATGATTGCTACAGGTGGCAGAAGCTGCTGAATGATCATCATAGGTTATATAGGGACAGAAACTGATTGCCTTTGCCAATTTTCTAGTATTTACACCAGTAATACTGCTTCCTTTTTCCCCCCTAATGCTCACATGTCATTTGCTACAGCTCATGTACTGGCCTTCCTCGTCTGCCCCAGAAGGGAGCAGGCCTGGTGCTCATACTGTGCTGTGTTTCTGATTGACTCTAGGGTTGAGTCTGCAGTGACGCAATTTTACTGGCACAGAACTTGGAAGATGTTGTACCAGAACAAAACAAAGTGTGTCTGGAAGCATCTTGTCCTAAAAACCGTTTGCGGGCAGTACAGATTTCCTTATGGAGGTGGGTTCATGTGACTGGATCTTGGCTGTAGTGGGAATCAGCTTTGTATTCATGTCCTTCCCTGAAGTACTCTCTAATAGTTGCTTTAAGCAGTCTTTAGCTGAGATCATATTTCTAGTTTGGGATTCCCTTTATACATCTTTCATTAATACAGGGATTCTCTGCAGTCAGAGACCAGCACCACAGAACAGCTGGATCTATTTTGGCTTGACAAAGGGCACTGGGCATTTTTTATCCATATATTTATGGCTCTCATGAATGTTCAGAATGCTTTTTATAAATATTAAAAACAATCAGGGGTTCTGGAAAGAATTCATACTGCATTGCCATCATCTGCAAGAGTTCTTCCATCTTCCTCTAGAATATGTATTACTAGCTGACACTGGGAACTAACTGGTCCAGTCTGTGAATTTCTAGCTGCAGCTAGAGGAAGGGGAGGCTACAAAGGGAATTGCTATCTCTCGATCATCAGAGAGAGCAAATATAATACAGGCGGCAGTCTGGCTGCCCCTGGAGCAAGTCAGAAGCAAGAAGCTTTCAAACAGGCACCTCTGAAAGTTCCCCAGAGTTTTGCTCTGCCTGCTGCACCCGCTGTGGTTATTTGGTAGGTTACTTGCCCTGCTTGTCTTGAGGTGGCTGGAGTTGAAGCATATGTTTTCTATTTAGAGCTTGGAGGATGCCCAGGTCTGACTTGGCATGCAGTCTGCACTGGGCATCAGCAGTACAGATGTGGAAACCACAAACCCGATTAATATGAGCCTAGGGTAAAAACTCAAATAAGCTTATAAATAAAACCAGACTTGCAGATTATTTGTTTCCATATTAGTCTATAATAGACCCTACTTGATATGTTTGTTTGGTTTAGTTTGGTGACCGACATAGGTATTTATATTTCCAATAAAAATTTAAATCAGAATAAAACAGACCAAGTAAGCTTAAATTATTTGTGCAGAAGATGATTGCAACTGTCTGAAGTGTGTAATTACTTACATGAAATGTTAGCCTGCTTTGAACAGAGATGTGACAAATTCCTCACTATTTAATTTACCGTTCCTTCATGGCTCCAAATCCTACATTCATATATAAAAATGGTCTCCTAAACGCAATCTAATCCTCAGTGAACAATCCTGAGGTGTCAGATGGCTTGGTGGGTCAAATTCTTGATGCAAACACCATCTGTGTGATCTTGGGTGAGTCACCAAACGATCCCCACATCTTAGCTTGAAGTAGTGACCATGTGTTAATGGCAGAGGGTGTACAAGTACCTACTGAAACTGGTGCTGTTTTAAATCCTGCCAGGCTCCTGTTCAGCTCTGGATATGCTAGAGAACCCCCATTGCTCCTTTTCACTGTAACTTCAGCTAACAAAACTGTTCACAGAAAAGCATTCCAAGTTCTTCTTGTGAAGGTTCTTCAGCAGTACTGATGGGTGCTTCCCTAAATGGCTCTGGGATCCCCTGGCCGTTTATCCAGGATGAGAATGACTTGATTCAGCTCCACTGAAGCATGCACAGTTGTAAAGAAAAATCTGTGATTTGGCAGCAGCAGGACATCTAGTGTATTCTGCCTGCACTAAGGTGCTTAGGATGGGACATGTACCCCAAACATAACGAGTCTTTGAAATGGGACTTGTTGTACCAAGACTTTGTATGCATCTACGACTGTATAATCTGCCACTGACTGGCTGGGCCTACCTAGCTTTCAGACTGTATCAAGGAGATATAATTGGAATCATGCTTCTGTTTCCCAGACCTCCTTAACAGACATCTGAGGGAAATAAGCACTTTCACATGCTGTTTTGGATCTCATGTAGACTATCAAGGGAGTGTGTAGTTCTTGCATCCCAGTCCTGAGCCTTGCATAAGTATATGCAGTGACATTTTAATGCTAGTATGGCTTTAAGGCCAATAAACAAATTGTGCTCTCTTCCCATCTTCACACTGCAAAAAGTAAGGGGAAAAATCTCTCACACCCTTTGTTAGGGTGCCAATGCCAGAGGAAAGACACCAGTGGATATTCCATTCAGATGTCCAGTTTTTCTTTCCAATTGTTGTTCTGGATCTCTTTTAGTTTTTCCCATCTTCTACTAGTTGAACAATGGCCTCTTCTTCCAAAACAAGTTTTCAGCTCTACAATGGTCTGGACTTCTCATTGTTTGAAAGTCAAGAGGGTCACTCAAAGTAAACTGTGTTGTGCAAGTTAATGTTTTTCCATGTGAAAATGTTGGAGGCCACTCCGTGCTGTCTGTCCAGAAAGGCCAGAAGATGCCTTGAGGTTCCTCAGGTGCATCTGTGTTTGTTTTCTAATGTTATTGCACATACAATATCATTAATATTATGTCTAAACCTTGCCTTTTTAAGCAGACTCAACGCACCTAAAATAATAGTCAGTCACAGGGAAAAAAAAGAGAGGATTAGTCACCACAAAAGGCATTAACAAATTAACTCTTTCTGTTGCCCAAAGAAGTTAGAGATGATATCACCTTCCTAAATTGCAAACTGATGTCATTGGGTTTTTTTTCACAAATTAGTATAAATAATTTCTATCGTTTTGGCAGTCAGAAGTAAAATGCAACAGTCTGTGTCATGTGGGAATCAGACAAGACTGTTTGGTGACTTCCAAGATATGGTTCTCTTCTGCAGCACATGCCGCTGAAGGGCAGGAAATTTCCCTCCTACTCACCTTATTCTTTTTGTAAATCTCCTTTTCCCTGTAGGCTGTCTCAGGTACTGTGCGAGGCTTGGCACATAGACACAACCAGAAATGCAGGCGAGACTTCGTGGAGCAAAGTGTCCAAGTGCTGAGTGAGTGCCCAATGGGCCATAGCAAAATGCGCAACCAAGTCAAAGAAAAACGGAAAATATTTCATAAAATTCATCTCTGCATCCCTTTTTCCTCTCTTGATATACGGCCTCTTACTCACAGCTGCCCGGGCCGCGGCCTGCGTGTAAATATGTCAGAGCAGCAATGAGACGGAACGCGGACACAGAAATGCCAGCGGCTGCTCGCAGATAAAACGCCGAGCTGAAGCCGAGGCGTTTATTGTAAATGGAGATCAAGGCAAAGCAGCAACGTTTCTGTTCGACTTCAGCCTGCCAAGGTTACTCGTCCAACTCCTTTCACGACTACCATATGTCCACATGCATTTCCCCCTCCAGAAAGTGAAATGTTACTCTTATGACAGCTCTGTAGCCATTGCAAGTTCCTCGATACTTTCCATGTGTTGTTTTGCAATAACCTGGAAACGCTGTTGGCAGATGGGCCGGGGGGTGCGTGTGTGTGCGTGCACGGGAGAGGGAGGCTGCCAGCCTGCCGGCCGTTGGAGCCTAACACTGCTGTACCTTAACAGTAACTGCAGGGCCTGGGAAGCATTGATGCTCTTTTTTGTTCTTTTCAGCAGGGGGCACTGGATCCTGTAAACAGGAATTGGTACATTGCAGCTCAAAGGGCCAAACAGCTTTAGCAGATGGGGTGATTTTTTTTTTTCCTCTTGATACTTGTGATGTGGAAGAGAAGTCTGTGCACCCACTGACAGAGAGGCATCCAGCAGTATGTGTTGCAGGTGATAGATTTCTTTTTCTTGTATGTTTTGTTTTAATTAAAGTGGCAGCTTATAAAAATGGGTCACTTGGAAACCAGGCTGGTTAAAGCGTTAGCCATCTGGCATCCTTCTGAACAGCAGCACCAGCCAGCTGGCACAACTGGGGAATATGCAAGCACCTACAAACTACAGCCTGAACAGCACAGGCTGGCACAGAACCTGTTTGAATTGTAGAGACTTGTTCCAGCACTCTGTAGAGGAACTGCAGGAGTACTCTGTGAGGAGTTAATCAGGGAGTTTAGCCTTCTACACAGCCCTTGATCCAAAATGCCCAAATTTTCAACTTATTTCTTCCAACACACGTGTCGTTCTCAGTAATACCCAACATGCTGTATTATCAATGTGCTCCACCCTCTCCTTTTTGTCCCTCTGTGCTGGGGTTTGCATTTTCCTAAATGGTGGCTCAGATGAACTGTAAGCCAAAGTGACGGAGAAAAATATTAGAAACCTTGCTTTTTTTCAGATGACTTTTTAAAATGTATTTCCCACATCTACCTTGCAACATAATTATTTCAGTAACGGAAGTTTTAATGCCAATAAAAACGATACGTTAAAAAAAAACTTCCTAAGCCTTCATCTGGCACTAAACTAACATCTTGAAAATGTGGCTCCACTAACTCACATAATTCAAGAATAAGAAATAAAGTTATTCTTTTTCACACTTCACAGGTACTGACCTATGTTCTTGAGCTGACATGAAATGCTTCACTTTAAAGACTGCTCAAATACTCTTTTAGACAAGAAAACTGAATACTATCACAATACATGCTTTACCTCTGCTACTGGAAGGCCAGTTTTTCCTGTAAAGCCGCTGGTTAGTTATTGAGGGGTTCACACTTGTATAGCTACACGTCTTATCCCACCCTGGCAATGGCCAGCCACCAGCTGGAAGTTAAAAGTGCTTGAAAATGTGACTGCATCTCACAGCATCTACTGATTCCTGAGCTTAGCAGGACTTGGCGCTTTTCTTTCCCATGCTTTCTCTCCCAAGTCTGAGCTCTTGCCCTGGCAGTGCAACACGATTTGAGAGCTGCCCATAATGGCATACAGCCCATAAGGCTGGCCACTGGCCTGCAATGCTGTATGCTGCTGTTCCCACTTAAATCAGGTAGAAGCCATTGATTGCTTAGGGCTCTAGGTTTGTTCTTTTATTAAATAGCAGGCCCTAACAATTGCTAGTGTTCACCAAGAAGAAGTGTGATGAAAGGCCATATTATGTCAGGCTCAATTGTATCTTTTCATCTGTCCTACTTGGTATGGCATGTTCCAGGTGGAGGCTGGCAGGATGCTAGTGCTAAAACCTGCCCTCTAGCAGCAAAAAAAGTATCCTAGGTCCTCATCCCATGTTCAGATCTCAGCTCCCTTTGCTACCCTTCTCCCATCAAAATCTTTTGATATGTGGATACCTGCTGAGTGGGTACTTCACTATTCTGAGAAGGGAGATCAGTATCTTCTAACTTCTTTACAGATATATGTGCTCTTGAAGTGATTCTTACAGTCTGTGTTAGGCTAGATCAGGTCTGTGTTTTGTACCCAGCTTCACCTTCTGCTACAGATGCCTGACACCAAAAATCATTATTCCTTAACACCACATGATACCGAAACAGGCAGATGGTAAACTTGGCCACAACTTGGTTTGGTAGCAACTTCCCTTAGCAGTTTTAAAGTGTGGGCTTTTATTTTGTTTTTCTTTTTTTGTTTTTGTTTTCTCCCAGGTTAATGGGATATATGGACAGGAGACTTCAGCTTAATTCCCTGGAATCAGGACAATTTGAGGTGTTGCCTAGCTCAGCCCTCCGACAGGAAAGGAAAGAATAACTTGAACATCTCTCCAGTCATTTCCTGATATTTGCTGTTAGTGAACAGATGTAATTCACTCCAAAAGGCACTGCCAAGTGCTCCTGCGTGTCTGATCTACTAAGCAAGGTTGGTAGCACCAGCTCTCCATAAGATTTCCCTCTCCTGAGGAGAGGCTGGTGTCAGCCCCAGCTAACTCTCAGAGGCCTGACATCAAACTGGTTGGAGTTCTGTTAGAAGTCAACTGAAAACCTGTTGCTGTTATTATCTGACACTGGCTGAAACAAAAGCCAAATGTTGATGAATGTCTGATCCTAAAAGTAAACATTTTGTTTTTTTTTTCTCTTTGCAAGTCAGGGGCCTTTTAGGGTTTTATCTGATTTTGGCAGTCTGTTGCACATTTTGGGGCCTGGAGCATGGTTTTAATTGTTACATCACAAAAGTTGCCAAATAATGTTGAATGCTCCTTAAAAACTCTCTCAATTTTATGGAACTTCTCAACGGCTTGACTAATACAATAATTGCTGGAACCCAGCTATGTTGCCTAGTGGCAAATGGAATTTTTTCATAATGATGCTGTCTGTCATTAATAGCAGGATTTGTTCTTTCTCTCAGTGGGAGAGAGGCCAGAAATCAATGGTATCTGTCTTTTTTAATGACAGCCAACAGCAAACGGATAAAATAATCAATTACATCTATAGCTAGGTAGATAAAGTATAATTTATCATGTCAAAAACAAAAATGTTTTTAATTGGGCTGTTAATCATTTTGTAATTTTAACTAACGAGATGAGGGCACTATTTTATGCTCAGACATCACTAATATTTTGTACAATATTAACTGATCTTATAATAGTTTTAATAGCAGTGTTTACTACTATCTGCCAAAATAAGAAACACCATTTCTGCTTTCATTAGCTGAAGCCTTTGCAGTTACAAAGGGCTGCCATTCTCTTTCATTTTTCTCCCACTGGAAGGATCCAGGTGAAGAAAAGGGTCTGGCTCACGAACCAGCTCTGAGTTTCTAAAATACCATGGGCTGTTTGATTAGGAGCGTGCACACCCTGGTTACCACCAAACATGTTACTGAAATGATAATTATTTTTTTAACAGGAAAACTTAAAAGCAGATTAGTGTAACAGCAAAGGCTGAAAGTGAGGAGTTTTGATGTCTAGCCACACCTGTGTTGTCGTGTGGGAAGCTGGGCAGATCACTTAATCCCTCCTAACTTGTTCTCCCTGTCTGCAACATAAGTATTAGGTGCTTCATCATGCTGCTGTGGAGTACGTTGGTGGGGCAAGATTCCTCAAAATTTCATTTAAAAATGGCAAACATCCGGGGAGCTGGCAGCAAAAGGAGCCTCTCCAATGAGCTTTGAGGAAAGAGAGAGGAAGTTTATAACTGGAGCCGAATCTTCCCCACATTCTAACTGAAAACGTCCTCATGATGCCTGATAAGTGGGAAATCATCTACCAGATAAATCTCACAGCACTGGGGTAATTTGGCTGTCTACTCTTTTGATATTCATGTTATTCATATCAATGTCACGACTAGATAATGCTGTTTGGGACAAGATCTCTATCTTGCCTATAAAATCCACATTTAGAAAATTCCAGGCATGCTAGGAAATGTGATTCTTGAGAGCCCCTGTGTGTGAAATACATGGCATTACTTCCCTGCTTCAGAAGTGCTGTGCAGCCACTGAACTCTTAACTTCCCTCAGAAAAGCTCTGCCTTTCTGCCTTAAATCAAGAGTTGTTCTTGGAAGTATCTACATGCATGGAATACTGTCTGCTAAGGGCAAATTTCACTTTGTAACTGTGACTTTGTTATGGCTTTAGCTCTTTGTCCACAGCATCTCCCAGCGTTGCATGTAACACAGAGGGGCAGGACTGCCCTTCTGGTAACTGGATCTTCCCTGAGAGTGGTGGAAAATATCAGATGCTGAGTGGGTTTTTTACAGGTCTAATGGCATCACTGAGGCAGTATTTAGACTGGGAAATAGGGAGGAGAGACTATGGGACTGACTTTCCTAAGCATGAATACATGGACATTCAAAACATTCCCAGAGAGTCACGTTGCACAACTTAATGGGCCTGGTGCCCTCACCTGTGCCTATTTTATGTGACTCTTAACTCTGGCATTAAATAGAAACAAGACTTGTGCTAATGACATCCACAGCCCGTGGTGAAGAAAAAATGCTGCTACTTTGATACAGATCCCCTTTTAAGGAGGACACAATAGACAGCCAAGGCTTTTTCCCATCTGCTAGCTGAATGTTACAGTTCCTGGCCCAGAAACGTGCCCTCAGCAACACCCCTCTATTTTCAGTGTTACACTAGATAATTTTTAATAAGAAAATGGTTATCTACTGCCCCTGTGTTTGCCACCTTGACTTTACCCTCCTTCTCCATTAGGTGAAAGGGAGGGAAAAGAAGGAGCAGGGTTGGCTGGGGGAGGGGAGCAAATAACTTGGGGAGGGCGTTAAATAGACCAGCTGCTATGTGTGAAGTATCTGCTTTCTAATTGCTTCTGTTGGAATTCAGGGGATAAAGGCACTGGCTACACTTAATTAATAAGGCAGGACTCACATAAACTCCAGCTGTGAGCACAGGACTGGTCTTTAAAGGATAAGCTCAGGAGGTGAGGCAGAGAGTTTGATTTTGTTGCATGAAATCCCACCACACGCTGCTGGTGGTGTCTGTCCATCCGTCTGTCCACCCATCCACTTAAGCCTTTTGCTCTCAGCTAGAGGTGAGGTATCTGTTACTGTCTGTGCCCCAGCCCAAAGAAAACTGATCTGTCCTCAGAAATCAAAGATGTGAGGCTATGTTTCAAGCTAGGATGAAACTGTTGTGCTTTCATCCTAGCTTGGAATCCCCCAAAAGAGATGTTTGGATCAAAGGTTTGGTCAGGTTTAACAAAAATACGAGCTTTTGCAAAGATGTAGGCTTGGCCTGTAGCCCTCTTTTCTGCCTCGTTTCAGAGGATCTGCATTTTGCATCCAGAACATCTCTCTTTCTCATCCAGACTCTCTGCCTGAGGGGGTTTGCTACAGGGGTAGGTCTGGTGGGGTGCTGTACAGCTGATGCCTTCGGATCGTCTCCAGTGATGTCTCTGAGGAACACGGTGGTTCTTCCCTTCCTTTCCCTTCCCTCAAAAAGGTGACCAGGAATTTCCCTGAGATACAGACAAGGCCCCTGAAACTCACATGAGAATGTGAATGTCACACTGTTCCCCATTTGTTCCGGTTCCGTTATCACTGCCATGGGACCCCCCACATCAGTGCAAGGTCCTCCCAGGCAGGTCACAGCAGCGCTTCTGTGGGGTGGCACCTCCGAATTTCAAAGCTTGCTGTGCAGGTGCGCTACACTAGGAAACGGTGGAATCAGAAGCAAAGGTGGAAGGGATGTTCCCATGTAGTTAAGAGTCTGTTTTTCCTCACTAGCTGTGTAAGGAAATGAGCTTCCTGCATAGGATGAGACGTCATTTGCTGTCCTGAAGTCTTTGTGGCCTGACTGGTCTGCTCTTTTAGGTGCCAGCAGCCAGGGCAGGTCTGTTCCGTGTGTGATTGCTCTCCCTCGTGTGCCTTGACATGTCTTCCAGGAGGATCTGTTCCATGATCTTCCCATGCACAGAGGTGGGGCTCACCGGCCTGTAGTTCCCCATGTCCTCCTTCCTCCGTCCTCGTAAATGGCAGTGATGTTTCCCTTTTTCCAGACCCCAGGGACTTTGCGTGACAGCCACGACTTTTCAGGTATGACAGAGTGGCTTGGCACCCATATCAGCCGGGTCCCTCGGGTCCCTGGGATGTGTGTCTTCTGCCCCATAGACTTGTACACGTTCAGTCCCAGGAGGTGATGCTGGACTTGCCCTTTGAGTTGGGGGGAGTTTGCTCCTCCGTTTCCCGCCTAGAGGTTCGGGGGATGTGAGCTTCAGGGGTGTGAGAAATATGAGATTCCTGGCTGCCATTTCATTTAAGGATGAGAATAGTGTCTTTTTTCTTTTTAAGTATGGATCAATCATGTATGAAGATGAACTCCCACTCAGCCTCCCTTCATCCCTAATACTTTCATTTCATTCTCCTGCTGCTTGCTCTTTTATGGTTTTGTCCTTGACTGGTAACATTTCTCTCTTGTTCTCCCTTACATGCACCATTAAGAATGGGAAGAACTTCTATTAAAAACTCAAGCCTCATGTAGATCTTAAGCTGTAAATAATGTTTTATACAGATTCTAAGATTGTTAAATCCTTCCAGTTTGCCTCCCTCCTACTTCAGCCTACAGTTCATTTGATTAGAGCAGAGATATTCTTTTGAAAATGAACTGTTTCTGTTTTGATTTTGCAAGCAGCCTTGAGAAGATACAGTCTGGCTGTGTGCATTGTTAATCAGAAGATTGGCCACATGAATCCAGAAACACTGCCTTCAAGAGAACTGACTGCTGACATGTAAAAAAAAGCACACCAGAGAAACCCTGGAATTCTGAGATGTAGTTGACTTTCTAAATACAGGCAAGTTGCAATTAAAAACCAGTTACTTGGGGAGAGATGCATTCAAAATACAGATCTTTGGAGGGGGCTGGCAGGCACATCACAAGTGAAATAAATTAGTAATGTGAGGAGGTAGCTATGCTCAAGGATTAACTAATTTTGGACAGCTGTAGGAGCCAACCCACTGGGCTCTGTGCATTGCCTCACTGTAAGTATTTATCCTGCTCCTCTGGATACCAGGGCATCACAGAGCCAGGCATCTGAAATGCAGCTTTTCCTTACGAATGCAACTAAACCAGCTGCTGCATTTTGCAGAGATCCTGACACTGTAGTGCTGAGCTGCTCTCCATCTCGCTTGATGAAATCTGCTCACCTCAGCCTGCGTGTTAGGGGAATGGCCAGTCAGTCAGGCTTTGCTAGTATGGGGCTGAGCATGGAAATGAGTAGAAATATCCTGAGCGATATTTACTGCAAAGCTGCTGAAAAGCTTCACAGTAGACAGCCTACACAACCAAACTATCTCCTCCAATTAGTCCATGGTCATCAATGAGGTAAATGTCTCTGCCTTCTGACCCAGACAGGGTGGAGTTTTAATAACAGACATAAATCTGTTGTGCTTCTCTCCTCATGACCTAACATATGCTGTCAGGGCAATGCATGCCTCAGAGAAGTAGAATTTATGTGTACGATAAAACAATAGAGCGTCAGTGCTATCAGCTGTTTGATGAACTTTAATATACATCTGCTATAAAAAAGGCAGCGAGCACCAGAATGTGATACTCAAATAAAAACCCTTGATCCATTTGCATGACAGATCCTCAATTTACTCACATTCACGTGAGGGACACACATAAAAATTATATCCACCCTTAAATTCACTTAGAAGCAGCCTGAAATACCCCCCAGTTGCAAGTGATACTGCAGTTCTTAGCTAATACTCATGTTTCCGTGGCTTTGCCTTCATGATTCTTCCAGTGGTTCCTTTATGTTTTCTGGTATTTTGCCAAACACCTGTGAATCGGTGCACAACAAATATTCTTGCCATTTAATTTAGACTTGCACAGAAAGGCTATAGTAGGCCGGCTGCACACCTAATCCCAAACCTCTAAAGAGGTTTAAGGCACTCTGGTTTCACCTAATCCCGAAACCTAAACCAGAATCATTGAAAAACTCCATGACACCATAGGAATGGGCAAATAAAGGGTTTCCACTATGAAATTATTAAAGGGACACGGTGTATCTTTTGGATTTGAGACCTTAGGCTTTACCTAAGGAGCTTGGTGTCCACAATGCAGTGTTTGTTTTGAAGACAGGAGGTTGAAAGCTTTATTTAACTAGAGATTTGGCTTCTTCCTCCTGCCCAACAAGAGGGTGGGTGATCCCTTGGAGGAATGGAGGACGGGAAGGAGGGGGACCTGCAAGCAGGGGTGGCTGTGCAGCACAGCAGGACACACAGGTGTGGGCTCTGCAGTACTGGTGGTTGGTACTGGTGGTACTGGCAGTGCACTGCTGCTGCTGGGAACAGAGATTGTGCTTCTGAGAGCTCTGAGAGGGGCAGCAGCGTGTAAAATCCTGCACTGTGATGGGACTTTCAGCAACAAACTGCATCCGACTGTGGCACATTTCAGCTGGCATTAATTCCAGTTCCATTAATTGCATTCTGACCTTCCTGAATTCTTGCCCACACCTCGTTATCTGTGTCCTGAAGGGGTGCTGCACGCTCAGGATGGCTGAGGGCGCAGATCCGCACCCCATTCTAACCAACACCTCCCGAGCAGACCGAGCGCGCTCTGCACGCGGCCCAACCGCGACCGGCGGCGCACAGCTGCACTGCGGCCTTCCATCGCGCTCCGCTCGGCGCATGCGCACCGCACCGCCATCCCCCGGCGGGTGCCAAAAGCGACCCGCGGGCATCACGTGGGTCCGGCCTGCCGCCGCGCGGCGCTCCGCGCGTGCCCGGTCCCCAGGAGAGGCCCCAGGTACGGCGGGGGAGCGCCGGATCGGCGGCGTTTCGCTTCCCAACCCCCCACCCCGAGGCGGAGCGACGATCGGTGAGGGACGGCGGCGGGGCGCGGAGGCGGCGGGGCGGGAGGGAAGCGTCGGCTCGGGGGAGGCGGAATGCGCCTGCGCGGGGCGTCGCCGTGACGACGGCGGAGCGGCTGCGGGGCGGCGTGGAACGGTGGCCGTCCTCGCGCAGCGCCCGCCCGTCCTGCGCGGAAGGGCGCGGCTCCGTCTCGCTGAGGCGGCGGAGCGGCCCCTGGGCCGGTGCTTTCGTAGCCGCCAGAAGCGCGTCTTTTTAAGGCGTTTAAAAGGGAGCGGTAACGAACGAGCTCAAGTAAAACCCGCGCGGACGCAGGTGGGGCACGGAGCCGAACCCCGCCTTTCGGGGCCGGATCTCCCGCCCGCGCAGAGCGCAGCCCCGCGAAATCCCGCTGAGGTAACGCTGCGCCGCAGCCGGCGTCGGCGCGTGCCGGCACGGAGCGCTGCGAACAGCCGAGAGCGCGGAGCTCCGCGCGCTGCGCTGCAGCCGGGCCCCCGAATGGCCGCACTGCGCCCCCTGGCGGCGGCACGGCTCGGGAGCGGCGGCCGTGGAAGTGACGAACGTGTTCTGTGCGGCTCCTTCACGTGCCGCTTTCCGGTAGAAAGTCAGCTCATGCCCAGATCCAACAACTTTTGAAATAAATAAGGTAAAAGAGAAGGGCGTGCTGTTTGGTAGCGCTCTGGGAAGAAATAAAGGCTGTGAGCGATCGGAGTCGGGGTGTCCTAGTGCTCCTTTGCAGCCGTTTGTTGGAGCCTTGCGGTTTCCTTGCAGCCCGCCGGCTGCCTGCCTGGGCAGGACGAGGTGTGTGCCCGTGTGTGAGCCGTAGGGCTGGGGGCACGTGTACTTGTTGTTGTCCATATCGGTGCATTTCAAATAAAATACTGACTTTTTAAAGTATTTTATCCTGTTTTTAATGATTTCTGTTAAGGTTTTAATTGATCTGCAGGCAGGCTCGTCACTGTAACAACATCCTGTGGTCAGGTAATCTAAGCTGGTTCCTTCAGATGTGCTGTTATCAGTCGATTATGATGGTTTTGCAGATGGAAGTGACGTTTCTGCACTCGCTGGGATAGCTGCCAGCTTCTCATTTCAAACAGCCTGGTTTTGGTTCACAGCTGCAGTTTCAAGCATTAGAATTTAACATAGTGCAGAGCAGATCTGTGGTCTGCATGCACCGCGCCTTTCCGGAACCTGCTGGTCATTTCAGAATACAGCGAGTGTCTTTTTGCAGTGAAACCTTTAGGACTCGCTCTGACGTTCTGAAGAGGTGTCTGTTGTCACATACATCTGCTGGGTTGTGTTTTGTGTTTGCATGCTTTCATGTTTATCTCGAGTGCTATTTCTCTGCAATAACATTTCAGTGTAGTGAGAACCACAAACCAGTCAGTTGTTGCTAATTAGCAGGTGTGGGAATTTGGAGCTGAAAATTCTTGCTTTCCAGTATTTACCTACGAAGCATTGTCTGTGGTGAAAAATAGCTGCTGTGACTCTGTGTGCTTTGTAGTAAGTGGTGCTGTTGTGGGCAGGTTGGGTTAGAGGTGCGCGTTACATTCCTGGGGTTGTAAAGACAAATCTAGAGAGGATTAAAAAACATTCTTTTTACTTTTTGCACACCTTTTCTAAGGTGTAGTACATTATGTGGTACTTGACTTTTGTACGAGTTTGAACCTTGGCACAGGATTGCGTGGTTGTGAGGATGTCTTTACATAGAAAAAAAGTAAGTTTCGTAGCAGTAGTAGCACTTTGATCCAAAAATTCAGTGTGGATGGATTTGTTTTCTTTACGTGAATACAGTTTGACTCACTGCAATATACCTGATAGTACAAATGATGGGTTTCCAATTAGTAATACCTTGAACGCCTATTTAACTATTGTTTTGTGGGTTTGTTGTTGTTTCTTTCTTAAAATACTGGTCTCTGTGGAGCAGTAGAAGTGCTCACAGAGCCATGAGAAAGAAATACATCTACAAAAATGTCTGTGTATTTTTTGCCTGAGCAGAAGAGCTTCCTTTGGAGCCTTGTGCTGGCACCGCTCTATGCTAAAAGGAAGTGGACTCTGCTTTTCCTAAGCAAAATACGTGTGTACGTATATATATTATTACTATACACACTCATATGTTTCACAACTTCCTACAGCACGTTTTGTTGATGTGCTGCTAACGATGGCACAGCTCATCTTTTCTGATGTTTCATTTCTAACGCTGTTTATGGCTTGCTGGACGTGTCCTCACAGTGAGGGGCTGTGTGAGAGAACTGGAGCTTTGTGGGATGTCAGGTTTGCTGTGCTGTGAAAAGCAACTCGTAAAGAGCAGATGCTGTTATCAAGGGTGCAGGTCTTTGTAGGTCTTGGGTAGGTGGCAGACATGACACAGATCTCCTCAGGGACGGAGGTATTACTGGCTGTTGTTTTCAAAGGCACTTCTTATCCTCAGCGGGTTGCTGAGCACTCGGCCGCAGGCTCTGGGCTGTGTTGTGATTCAGGAGTTCAGGTACCAGTCTGTCTCTTGTGCATCTCAGAAGTGGGGGCTGCAGAACACCGCCTTTGCTAAGGGCTGGTTTATTCTCACTGCTCTTCGGAGGGGCGTAGGATCGGAGCGTTGCGCTGTAAGCAAATGAGGAGTCCTGGGAGTAAAATCCTTCCAGTCTGCAAATTCTCTCCCTTGTAATTTATTTTTAAAGGTCAAACTGTGAGTGTTACAGAAAAAAGAAGAGTCATTTCTACAGGAAAACCTTTCCAGGTGATACTCAACCCTGACCTCTGCCTTTAGGTTTCCCAGAGCTGCTGGGTGGCTGCTGGCTGAAGGGCAAAGCTGAGCAGGAACTATTTGCAAAGAAATGCAGAGCGGTGCTTTGCCTTTACATTTTTTTTAATTATCATTTTAAGTTACTCCGTGATTTTTTTAGTAGCCGTTAAATTCTTTGATTTAGAGAAGGAAAGGATTCTGCTTTAAAACAAAGCAGGTAGGAATACCAGGACGGCCGTTTCACACTCGGACAGCTGGAGCAGCTGTGTGTTCCCCACTGAGATGAAAACGCTGCTCTCTGAGATTTAGAAAGGTAAAAAGTGTGACTGGAGCATTAACTGGGAGGGCCACATAATACCAAAATTTAGCTCTGTGTTCATTGTAAAGAAAATCCTCATTGTAGAAGGGAAAAAATGAACTTGTTCCACCACTTTCTTTTTTTCCTCAGGAGAAAACACAGAATATATCCTAGGTAATAAATCTGTTTTATGGCTCACATGAGAAAGGGTGGAGAAACTCCCATTATTTTCTTCCCAGAAATTGAAATGCACATGAGCTAACATGGAGACACTGGGATTTTCATCCAGCAAACGCACAGCTGGCTTCTGCTTTTATTATTTTCCTAAGCCTAATAATTTTTCATTTGATTAGCTGGTGGCTGACACAGCTATCGCTTGCTCAGTGTTCTGTATATTTAGTAGAGTAGGTGTAATGCAAAAATGATAGCGTAATACATACCCAGAAGCGTAGCTCAACTTGCTCGTTTGATGAGCAGTTTCTGCTTCCCTCTCTTTAAAATGCCAGTTTCTATCTTCAAGTTTTGTGTTTGAGCAGAAAAAAGTAACTGCTTGAGGACTGGAGGCAGGAGAGCTGTGTAAGCATCTAAGAATTCATTCTTGATATTTGCATTATGGAGTCGGTGCAGATTTGCGTGGTGCTCTGTGCATGGAAAGGGATGGCAGGGATGAGGTGGAGGTCTGCAGGGCAGCTGGGCCTGTGGATGTGCTGGGAGGATCTGAGGAAGGAAAGTCCTGGTGAGAGTGAAGATTTTTAACCTTGATGAGTTCGTTAGAAATCTTGACTTCTGCCTCCTTTGATGTCAGTTTGGTGCTCTTTTATACAGTGAATGCCTGGGGAAGGAGTGGTTTGTAAGGATTAGTAGAACCTGTGTCCTACATATCTGCATTCTGACCTGAGTCCATTGCTCTCAGTAGTTGCTGATAAGTGCTGGTGTCTCTGGCATAGGAGGAGCTGCCATGCTGGCTCCTGGCTGGGGAGAGTGCTGCGTCTGGAGGGGAGCAGCTGGGGATGCTGGTGGGGAGGCTTTGGATGCATGGAGGCATGGTTTGCTGTGGAAGCACTCACCTTTTCTGCAGCACAGCACCGTGGCTTTTCCTTTGCACGCTGATCCCTCGCCCCAGGTGCACAGG